CGAAAGGAAAATCCAATGCTGTAAAGAAAAATATTGCAGAGGAACCTGGAATGTAAGAACCATGAACCTGGGTAAGTTGGATGTGGTCAAAAATGAGATGGCAAGAATAAATATTGACATCCTGGGCATCAGTGAACTAAAATGGACAGGAATGGGCGAATTCAGTTCGGATGACCATCATATCTACTACTGTGGGCAAGAAACCCGCAAAAGAAATGGAGTGGCCCTCATAGTCAACAAAAGAGTGGCGAAAGCTGTACTGGGATGCAATCTCAAAAATGATAGAATGATCTCGATACGAATCCAAGGCAGACCTTTTAACATCACAGTAATCCAAGTTTATGCACCAACTACTAGTGCTGAAGAAACTGAAACTGACCAATTCTATGAAGACTTACAACATCTTATAGAAGTGACACCAAAGAAGGATGTTCTTCTCATTATAGGGGATTGGAATGCTAAAGTAGGGAATCAAGAGATAAAAGGAACAACGGGCAAGTTTGGTCTTGGAGATCAAAATGAAGCAGGGCAAAGGCTAATAGAGTTCTGTCAAGAGAACAAGCTGGTCATCACAAACACTCTTTTCCAACAACACAAGAGACGACTCTACACATGGACATCACCAGATGGGCAGCACCGAAATCAGATTGATTATATTCTCTGCAACCAAAGATGGAGAAGCTCTATACAGTCAGCAAAAACAAGACCTGGAGCTGACTGTGGCTCAGATCATCAGCTTCTTATAGCAAAATTCAAGCTTAAACTGAAGAAAGTAGGAAAAACCACTGGGCCGGTAAGATACAATCTAAGTCAAATCCCTTATGAATACACAGTGGAAGTGAGGAACAGGTTTAAGGATTTAGATTTGGTGGACAGAGTGCCTGAAGAACTATGGATGGAGGCTCGCAACATTATACAGGAGGCAGCAACAAAAACCATCCTAATGAAAAGGAAATGCAAGAAAGCAAAGTGGCTGTCCAACGAGGCCTTACAAATAGCAGGGGAGAGAAGGCAAGCAAAATGCGAGGGAGATAGAGAAAGATACAGGAAATTGAATGCAGATTTCCAAAAAATAGCAAGGAGAGACAAGAAGGCCTTCTTAAACGAGCAATGCAAAGAAATAGAGCAAAATAACAGAATGGGAAGAACCAGAGATCTGTTCAAGAAAATTGAGATCTGAAAGGAACATTTCGTTCAAAGATTACCATAATAAAGGACAAAAGTGGTAAGGACCTAACAGAAGCAGAAGACATCAAGAAGAGGTGGCAAGAATACACAGAGGAATTATACCAGAAAGATATGGATGGCTCGTACACCCCAGGTAGTGTGGTTGCTGACCTTGAGCCAGACATCCTGGAGAGTGAAGTCAAATGGGCCATAGAAAGCACTGCAAATAACAAGGCCAGTGGAAGTGATGGTATCCCAGCTGAACTATTTAAAATTTTAAAAGATGATGCTGTTAAGGTGCTACACTCAATATGCCAGCAAGTTTGGAAAACTCAGCAGTGGCCAGAGGATTGGAGAAGATCAGTCTACATCCCAATCCCAAAGAAGGGCAGTGCTAAAGAATGCTCCAACTACCGCACAATTGCACTCATTTCACACGCTAGCAAGGTTATGCTTAAAATTCTACAAGAAAGGCTCAAGCAGTATGTGGACCGAGAACTCCCAGAAGTGCAAGCTGGATTTAGAAAAGGCAGAGGAACCAGAGACCAAATTGCAAACATGCGCTGGATTATGGAGAAAGCTAGAGAGTTCCAGAAAGACATCTACTTCTGCTTCATTGACTATGCAAAAGCCTTTGACTGTGTCGACCACAGCAAACTATGGCAAGTTCTTAAAGAAATGGGAGTGCCTGATCACCTCATCTGTCTCCTGAGAAATCTCTATGTGGGACAAGAAGCTACAGTTAGAACTGGATATGGAACAACTGATTGGTTCAAAATTGGGAAACGAGTACGACAAGGCTGTATTTTGTCTCCCTGCATATTTAACTTATATGCAGAATTCATCATGTGAAAGGCTGGGCTGGATGAATCCCTAGCCAGAATTAAAATTGCCGGAAGAAATATCAACAACCTCAGATATGCAGATGACACAACCTTGATGGCAGAAAGTGAGGAGGAATTAAAGAACCTTTTATTGAGGGTGAAAGAGGAGAGCGCAAAATATGGTTTGAAGCTCAACATCAAAAAAACGAAGATCATGGCCACTGGGCCCATCACCTCCTGGCAAATAGAAGGGGAAGAAATGGAGGCAGTGAGAGATTTTACTTTCTTGGGCTCCATGATCACTGCAGATGGTGACAGCAGCCACGAAATTAAGAGACGCCTGCTTCTTGGGAGAAAAGCGATGACAAACCTAGACAGCATCTTAAAAAGTCGAGACATCACCTTGCCAACAAAGGTCCGTATAGTAAAAGCTATGGTTTTCCCAGTAGTGATGTATGGAAGTGAGAGCTGGACCATAAAGAAGGCTGATCGCCAAAGAATTGATGCTTTTGAATTATGGTGCTGGAGGAGACTCTTGAGAGTCCCATGGACTGCAAGAAGATCAAACGTATCCATTCTTAAAGAAATCAGCCCTGAGTGCTCACTGGAAGGACAGATCCTGAAGCTGAGGCTCCAATACTTTGGCCACCTCATGAGAAGAGAAGACTCCCTGGAAAAGACCCTGATGCTGGGAAAGATGGAGGGTACAAGGAGAAGGGGACGACAGAGGACGAGATGGTTGGATAGTGTCTTCGAAGCTACCAGCATGAGTTTGACCAAACTGCGGGAGGCAGTGGAAGACAGAAGTGCCTGGCGTGCTCTGGTCCATGGGGTCACGAAGAGTCGGACACGAATAAACAACAACAATGTTTTGAGACTACAGTTCCCATCATCCCTGACCACTGGTCCTGCTAGCTAGGGATCATGGGAGTTGTAGGCCAAAAACATCTGGACGGCAGAGTTTGAGAGTTTAACCTAGGGAATTTTGACTTGTCACCCAGGATGGAAGGAAAAGCTGCAAATTCTCTCACTGACCCTGAGGTTTTTCTTTAGGGATGAGTGGGGTGGGGAAGGACACCTAAAACCACTGGAAGGCAAAGCTGGGAAGGGTCCCCAGGGGCTCATCTAGTCCAACCCCCCCCCCGCCTCCTAGAAATGAAAAACAATCCTCTTCCTCCTGTTTGGGGAGAGGAGGGCGTGGGGCGGTGAAGGAGAAAAAGCAAACCCCAGCCAGACATGAACGTTTATATATATATATATGTATGTATGTATGTATGTATGTATGTATATGAAAGGATTTCAGTATTAATTTTATGACATTAGCAAAATAATAACAAAAATTCGTAATTATAACTGCCTCAGAGGTGCACGATAGAGGGACACACGGAAAAGAAGGGGAAGCTGAGGTAAAATATCTGTGTGTGAGAGAAGGGGGGAGGTGAAAGTTTGTGAGGCGAAAGCGGCCCCTCCCCCCTCCTCTCCCCCTCCCCCACCGCGATAAAGGGAGGGGGGCTCCGGCTCACTCACTCAGCCCGGCCGACGCAATAGCTCCGCCTCCTCTCGGCCTCTTCCTCAGCGCGCCCGCCCCACAGGCAGAAGGGAGCGGAACTCGCCGGTGCGGGGAGGGAGGGCCTTGACTGCGCAGCCGCCTAGCCGCCGAGACGAAGTACGCACGCGCAGGAGTCCCCACGCGAGAGTTGGTCCCGCCCCTCCGTATGGAGTAAGGCCACGGGACTACAACTCCCGTCATGCCCGGCTATTGGCCTCGCAGGCTGAGGGCTGGTGGGAGTTGGAGTCGCCCTGCGACTTGTAAAGGGCAGGCGTCTCCCCGCCCCCATCGCTGACTTAAAGAGGAAACGCTCAGCAAATGGAGCGTTTATTTTATTTGATTTTGCTCCGCACAAACTCTTTGGGTTGCTTTGGGGCGAGATAAAGCGACGGACAAGTAGTAGTAGTACAGGAGTAATAATAATAATAGTTGTTTCCAAGCGACGGTTACTTCAGACATGCCAAAGTATTATTATTATTATTATTAGTTGTTGTTGTTTAGTCGTGTCCGACTCTTCGTGACCCCATGGACCAGAGCACGCCAGGCACTCCTGTCTTCCACTGCCTCCCGCAGTTTGGTCAAACTCATGCTGGTAGCTTCGAGAACACTGTCCCACCATCTTGTCCTCTGTCGTCCCCTTCTCCTTGTGCCCTCCATCTTTCCCAACATCAGGGTCTTTTCCAGGAGTCTTCTCTTCTCATGAGGTGCCCAAAGTCTTGGAGCCTCAGCTTCAGGATCTGTCCTTCCAGTGAGCACTCAGGGCTGATTTCCTTCAGAATGGATAGGTTTGATCTTCTTGCAGTCCATGGGGCTCTCAAGAGTCTCCTCCAGCACCATAATTCAAAAGCATCCATTCTTCAGCGATCAGCCTTCTTTATGGTTCAGCTCTCACTTCCATACATCACTACTGGGAAAACCATAGCTTTTACTATACGGAGCTTTGTTGGCAGGGTGATGTCTCTGATTTTTCAGATGCTGTCTAGGTTTGTTGGGTTGCTATTTGGGTTGCTTTGGGGCAAGATAAAGCGACGGACAAATAGTAGTGGTAGTAATAATAATAATAATAATAATAATAGTTGTTTCCAAGCGACGGTTACTTCAGACATGCCAAAGTATTATTATTAGTAGTAGTACTATTGGTTTTATTATTTTATGTTTATAAGGCGGTTGGTTAGTGTGGGGCTAACGCCAAGATCGTGGGTTCGATCCCTATAAGGGATATTCCTGCGTTGCAGGGGAGTTAGAGAGGCTTCGACCTCTACAATTCCACGCTTCTATATTTATTTACACTCCGCCTTCTCCCCAGAGTGGATTCCAGGGGGCGAACGTACTGTACTGACAAAGATTCTGCGCGGAAATAATGCGTATACGTTGCGCTCAAGGTCGCTGACGAGTGATGTCACAGACGCGCCTTGCGGGACTTGTAGTCTTTCGTAACGAGGCGGCTCTCCGCGCGTTTGCGCTCGGAGAGAGGGAGGCGGGCTCGTGGCCGCAGTGCACTGTGGGAAAGGTAGTTCCGAACTCCCGGCGACGCCGCAGCCAGAGCGGAGACGAGAACTACAAATCCCAGGGGAGGAGGCGAGGCTTCCGGCGGAGGCCGCGCGGTTGTGGGAGGGAGATGGAAGATGGCGTCGCGGGTGAGTGGAATCGGCGGTAGTGGCGGCGGCGGCGAAGAAAACCGTCTGGTGTCGCTGCCGTTGTCTCGCATCCGGGTGATCATGAAGAGCTCGCCTGAGGTCTCCAGCATCAACCCGGACGCCATTTTCCTCACGGCGAAGGCCACGGTAGGGCCCCGGCAGGGACGCTTCTGAGGGGAATGCGAAGGCCGCGAGGGAGACGCCGGCGGGAGACTGCGCTTGAGGCAGCTCCGACGGTGGCAGCGGCTCTCCTGTGGAGACCAAGCTCCTGGGAAGGTGGGGTGTTTTTTCTAAACAAGAGACATACATATGTATGTGTACAGTGGTACCTCGGGTTACAGACGCTTCAGGTTACATACGCTTCAGGTTACAGATTCCGTTAACCCAGAAATAGTGCTTCAGGTTAAGAACGTTGCTTCAGGATGAGAACAGAAATCGTGCTTCAGGGCGCAGCGACAGCAGGAGGCCCTATTAGCTAAAGTGGTGCTTCAGGTTAAGAACAGTTTCAGGTTAAGAACGGACCTCCGGAACGAATTGAGTTCTTAACCCGAGGTACCACTGTATTCTGTTCAGTCCTACCTCGCAAGGTTGTTGTGAGGAAAGATGGGGACCCAGGGGAGTTTTCACGTCTCCCGCCTTGAGCTTGACTCATTAACTTACTCTCTTTCTATGCAAAGTGGCTCCAGAGCAACAATGACATACAGTAATAGAGCATCACAACTACAACATGAACATAAATCAGCAGTAGATCAAGCGCATTCTATAAAATGCTAGTAACAAAACAACTTTTTTTAAAAAAGAAAGAAAAGCTAAACAGCACAGTTACAGCAAATGTCAACTTTGGAACTCCCTGCCTAGGGAAACCAAACTCACTAGCTCCTTGCTGCCCTTCTGCCAGCAGCTGAAGGCATTCTTGTTCCAACAGGCTTTTGGGAACTGACTGCATTTGGTGCCTTGCTGGGGGTGTTTTTTGTAATGATTTTTAGGGTTTTAAGAAATCTATGTATGTATGTATGTTTTAATTGTCAATGATTGTTGCTTTTCTGTGTTTATAGCTGTTACTTTTATCTGTAAGGCAGGGGAAAAGGCAGGGTATAGCTAAATATGTCTTATTTATTTGGCAATCACTCATAGCCGAGTAAGATTGTCTTCCATAAGCACGGTTTTTTGTTTTGTGTCTCTTAATTAAATTTTATTAGTATTTTCCACACAACAACAACACGAAAAATATAAAAAAAAATAACAACACACAAAAACCAACATTTGAAAACTAAAAAAACAACAACTAAAAAACACACAAATCCATATCTTACAAGTTAATAATATATATTATATAATATAAACACGGTTTTAACAATGAGTCTGTAAGTGACTGTGGAGGCCAATTCTGGATGCACACGTCCTTCCAGTGGGGACATTGGTTTCCAGGCGGGAGTTGATCACGGTGAGGGTTTGCCAAGCGTGCCTTCCTCCTAGCACGTTTCTCCCTTGCGTCCTGAGTTCAAGTGTCTTCAAAGCCCATGACACCTTTGGTAAAGGCTGTTCTCCAACTGGAGCACTCACAGGCCAGTGTTTCCCAGTTGTCAGGGTTTATACTGTACTACATTTTTTTAGATTTGTTTTGAGACAGTCTTTAAGCCTCTTTTGTTGACCACCAGCATTACACTTTCCATTTATAAGTTTGGAATAGAGTAGTTGCTTTGGAAGACGAGTAGCAGGAGGGACAACAGTGGTGATAAAAAGTGTAGCTTAGATTCCCAGCCCATGATCAGCCTACTATGGGACATATTTTGTATTGCATTGCAAATACCTATTGATTGACGAAATCAATTGTGTGCCACTTTTCCTCCAAGGAACTATGGGGGGGCATGCACAGTTTTTCTCCTCCCAATTTTCTCCTCGCAACAACCCTGGGAGATAAGTTAATCTGAGAGTGACTGACTGCCCCAGGGTCACTGAGTGAGCTTTATGACTGGGGAGAGGTTTGAATGCTGGTCCCCCAGCACTCTAACCACTGCACCACGATACCTCCTCTTGTTATAGTACCCTCTGTGGTTCCAAGAGGGTGTTTGATGTAATTACAATAAAATAGCGTACGCCAAATAATATATACCTGACTCATTGGTATACTATATTCTTATCCTTAGGAGCTGTTTGTCCAGTATTTAGCCGTGCATTCCTACAAGCACGGCCAGGGAAAGAACAAAACATCATTAACCTACAGTGACTTGTCCCATACAGCAGAGAACTATGATACATTTCAGTTCCTTGCAGGTAGGTCTTTACTCTTATCGGTCATGTAATTGTTGCAGATTTTTGAGTCCCCAATGGCGAAGTTGGTTCTGTTAAGACTACAAACCACCTTAAAAAGTCTCCTGGAACTGTTTTCCACTGATACAAAGGAGGTGGCAAAGAAGGTCGTCTTTGCCATCGCCATCACCACTTGGTAGGCTCGATGTTAAGCTCTAACTCATGTTTGGTCCAATTTGGAATGGGTTTTTTGCCACTGGTGCTCTAGCCATCTCAGCAATTGTTTCATCGCTGAATGAGAGAAACATGAGAGTTATGGATGATGGGCAGAGAGAATGACTAGGATAGATTTCCTGTTCAAATCCATTCTAGTTTCTAAGTCTTCACAAGTCACCTCCTTAAGTTTACCAAATGCTCTTGGACAACCATAGCAGTGGGGGGGATTTTTTTTGAAGATTTTTGTAGATGTAAAAGTCTGTGTTGGGTATGTGGTTCCATTGTGAACCTTACATTGGGCCACACCTCTCCTTAGTTATTTTCTAGCACCTGTAAGAATGCTTCTGTAATCATTTAATGAAGGTGCCCTTCTTCCAGATATCCTGCCAAAGAAGATCTTGGCTAGCAAATATCTAAAAATGCTTGAGAGAGAAAAAGAGGGTGGAGAAGAAGAAGAGGAGGAGGAGGAGGCAGAAGAGGAAGAAGATGAAGAAAGTGAAGAGGAAGAAGCATCTTGAGGGTGACAAATGACTAGACTTACAGCACATCCCTGTTACACATTAACTTGTGTTGAAGTAAAGTCCTGTTATCTCTGCATTGGTTGAAAATGGAACAACTGGATTGCCAGTTTGTTTTACAATATATACAAGAGCCATAAGTGTGGGACTGAACTTGTGAAGAGATTTTTATTTTTATTTTAAAATACAGCTCTTTGTTAAAAGCTTACTAACTACGTATCAAACATTCTTATCTTGTGGATACTGTATTTCCAATACAGAGGTTTCTTCCTCTGCCCACATTGGGCAGCTCAGCAGTGACAATGGACCTTCTAATAGGGAACAATTCATTTAACAGCTTCATAGAAACCAAACATAATGCACAATGTCCAGCCTAGTTGGGAACAAATGGGGAAACACTTTTCATGTTTTTGTTTTTAATTACTACTTGTAGTGATGTTATGCATTTTGTTAAGGGGGTGGAATCTGCTCTGCCTCATGTTAATATGTATATTTTGAAAGGATGTTAAATATAGAAGTAGCATTTCCACAGCAGGGACTCTTTCCCATTTTGAGTAAGAGATGTACTTTATTCTTTAAACAGTGGCAACATTTGTAGAATACTTGTTCTAATGAATGTTTTATAAAAATGAATTCAGAAGATTTTTGTATAAGCACTTTTCCTTTGCATTTCCTTTGAAACTTGAACCTGTTCAGGGATTGGGCCAAAGGCTTAGTGAAGGCTGTTTTGTGTGTCTGAGTGATGTAAAACTTAATTGAAGTGGGATAATAGGTGAGCATTCCAAGGCAGGGAGAGTACTAAAATGTGATTTTTGATCCATTTACACTATGTACTAGGCCACCCATCCTCTTGCACCAACTCTGTAGTTGCTTCCATCAACATGTTGAATGATAAGAGATGCTTTGTTTGAAATTGCTTGAAAGGTTTAGTACTAAATGTTTATATAGCCAGCTCATCCACAGGAAAAGAAATTCCTTCCTTAGTCTTTACTTTAAAAAAAAAAATGAAGCACTTACTAAAGATTTTGCTTCACCGGCTTCTATGCTGTGATGACCCACATGGCAGAACCTTCCCTGCTACTCAAGGGCAGGTGCTATCTCAGGGGTGTCTGCCTGTGCTCTGGAAGCCACTGGAGGTTGAGTGGTTCCAGACCATCACAGGCTTTAAAAAAAGTCAAATTGGGACTGGAAGTTTGCAATATTGGTATTACATTATACCCACCCTTCAAATTCTCCTGCTGCACTGTCAATTAACCCTCTGAAGTTCTTAAAATATGGGTAGGTTTATATGCCCCTACCAGTTGGTTTGGTAATGGCATACCAGAGCCCTTTCTACAGTGGAACTAAAACTGTAATTCTCCGTCTGCTGCCCTCCTGAATGAGTTTCTGGACATAGAAGTACTCATGCAGAGGACACAAAGCCTTAGCTCAGTCTCCCCCCATGATGGGAGAGAGAGTTTGAACAGTATACTGATTAAAATACAAGTGCAGTACACAGCAGGTACACTATTGCTCCCGTTTCAGTGGCTGCAAGCTCTACCCTCTGAAGCAAACCTGGGAGTTATAAAGATGGAACACACATACGAAGTTATGTACCATACAGCCATAATGTCCTGTGTTTGATAAAACACCTTGGTCTAGTGAAGTGTGTGAGCAAAACAGCACCTATTAAATTGCATAGCCAGTCATTTTTCTCCTAGGTTCCATAGAAACTGAGCTAATAAGGAAATAGTTTATTCTTATGCACACAATACCAGAATGGTTAAGAATGATCAGCTGGTCTGAAAGACAAATGTTCAAACTGTTTCCCAGCAATGGAGTTTGCTATGTGACCTTGGACCATCATGCAGCCTACCTTACTTCATAGGATCAATGATAAAAACTGCCCAGAATGTGTGCATCCACATTCCCGCCCTGTAAAAAAATGTATTAATTGTACCAGGCACTTGAAACCCATGCATAATAGAAAATGGTACATTTGAACTTGTAAATATGAGTAATTTATTGACATACTATGAGGCAGAAACAAAATCGACACCATACAAAATAACTTTATAAAATATCATTCACATCATATTTCATCAAGATTTACAGCATTTTGAGCTTGTTACATGTCTTATGGTATGGAGGTAATAAAAAAAAACACTACACTAAATCTTTAGTATTAGTTTATAATATATATACACACACACACATACACAAGAAACCAAAACAAAAGTAAAAGGTTAGTTTGTCATGAGTTTATTGCATAAGTAGTGCAAAGTATTTTACTAGCAAGCTGTAAAACAAACATGGAAAGAGGAACCACCTAAGTTTAAAAACAGGACAATAAATGTTGAATTTCACAGTCTTCTGAAGCTTCCTTCAAGAGTTTCTCTCCCTGCATTCTACTCCCAAACACAACTCCCTCTGTGTTATAATGCATTTGGGGAATTAAAACTACCAAGTTATTCTGAAGGAAATTAGATCTAAAGGGTATATGTTGCTTGAAATCACCTGGTTGCAAGCTCAGGGTGGCGTCCAACTAAACAGTTTGGCTAGCACAAGGACATTTACTGCACAGTGGAATATTCCCATATTCAAGCCTCTGGAGCAGATTTAGGGGGTGAGAGGCAGGGAATTTCCACTGTACAGCTAAAATCCTTGTGCTAGCCAAACTGTTTAGCTGGATCCTGCCCTCAGTTTCCAATGGGGGGTGTTTTGGAGTAGCAATGTGGCTCAGCTGTCCAGTTAGGTTATCCTAACTGATTTGTTAGCTTATTCCTTAATCAATATATAATTATTACAAGTACATGATTGCCTTTTTCCAGTTGGAAAGCAGCAAACGACACCACTCCCCATCTCGATGTTCAATGATTACAAAGCAAGCATACAAACCAAGAGAGAACATATATTGTCTGTTTTACAACCTTAAGTTTCCTTTTTCTCAAAACCTACTTCGTAAAGTCACTACATCCTCTACTGAACAATGCAGGGCAGACTTGATAACAACTACTGAACTAACACCAGTAAAGGGTAAGAATGTCTAACTAAGTGAAGAGAGACAAACTCTCTCAGTTCTTCAGGGGATCCAACAAATACAAATTAAAAGCCAGGTAGCCTTTTAACAATATATTAAAACTAATGAAAGCCAAACAAAATGTTCAGTGAAATAAAAGGAACAAAATGCAGCATATTCAGGCTCTTGTTTCAATCGTGAGGTACCTGTAAGTCTTATATTCTGCCCAAGTACTATGGTACATTAAAAACATTTTAAAATTCTTAACCATAAGCCAATTTACAGGACACTATTACTGAGAAAGTGCAACGATGCTGATCACTTATATGCAGCATATTAAAAGGTTGGTTACTCTTTTATAAAATATAGCTTTACTTATAGACCCGTTGGGGCAGTTTTGTAACATACACTTTTTTTTCCTGTTGATTGAGTCTCTCTGCAGCAAAAAGAAAAAAGAAAAAAGGAAAAACACCTCCTTTAGGGTATAGCTTAAATCCTGCCACTTAGGAATGTTGGTGTCTCCCACCCCACCACCACCCACATTTCTTTAATTCCCCCACCCGGATATTAAACTAAATTATCAATTTTTACAGGAAAAGATTCCCATGCTGTATTGGTTACGGTTTATAAAGTCAAATTTTCAGTCTTCAAAAACAATAGTATATTACAACTTAGTCTCCCCAAAAAAAGGTAAGTAAAAAAAGTTTTTATATAAAAAAGGATAGTCAAACTGTTATATAAAAGCATGCAGAAAGTTACTTGGATGTTTTTATTCCCTTACCTGACATATGCACACACATCACTTCCATGTTTTACTATATACATGTATATATGTACAGTAACCTTTGCCAGCCCGGGAGGGCAGCCTTCCAGGTATTGTTGGACTACAACTCCCATAAGTCCCCAGTGAGCAAGTGCTGTCTGGGGGCTGATGGGAGCTGTAGTCCCCTATCTGGAAGGCACCAGGTTAGCAAAGGTTGATGTACAGCTTGAGTATTAGTAGCTACATACACACATCTTCACGCATATTGAGCTTCCCACCCCTGGAACTACCCAGGCCACAGAGATTTCACTAATTAAATGGAGGAAGTATATATATATCTCGTCGTGTGCAGATTTGCTCCCTTCGGTGAAACAAATGGGGTGGCCCACATATATTGGCTAGCATATTGGAGCACGCTCATCCCAAGATTGAACTGCCACACTACTTCCTTTTGGGCAAACACTGAGAAGCTCCATAGAGCATGCATGGTTCACGACCATGCTAATGTATGCATAGAATAGTTTGGGATCAGAGTATCAATGTTTTTTTTTTCCTTCCGTCTGTCTGTTTTTCAATACTTTTTTTTTTCTTAAAAAAAGAACTTTCCACATTACAAGCATTCCGTTACTCTGTATATTTATATACTTTTATTACACACAAAAATACACTTTCGTTAATTTTTTCAGAAACCTGACACAGTTTTCAGTTTTGCTGTTAAAAAGGGTTTATAGTTTGTATAGGAGCGTGACGATTTCGCTATGCATCGGGACTCAACACAAAAGGCACAAAGATGAAGAGAGAGAAAAACCAAATGCATTTTTGTAACACAACCCACCCCCCACCCCCACCCCAAACACCCTTGTCTTCAGAGGACAAGTAATCACATACTGTTTGGTCACTTTGGACAATCTCATTTATAATTTGAATAAATTAGCACCCAACTGCTTAGTGTGAGGTAGATCCAAACTGGAAAGAGTGCTGGGTCCCCAACCCCCCCACCCCCGCCTGCGACTAATCTTGGAGACAAAAGGAGTCAATGTCAGTTATGTGATGCAAAAAAACATCACTATGTTTTCAACATATGTACATTTTAAAAAATCGTCAAGACTCTTCTTTCAATACAACTACATATCACTCAGGGGAATGAAGCAACATTAATCCCCTTAGCCCTTTTTAAAAAAAATGAATTTCTTCCAATTGCTTAGTCTCTTCTCCACACATCACAATGTCCGGATTAACAGTGTGGCTGGAGCCCCAGTCCAGGAGGTGTAAAATTCTGTAAAAATTGGGATAGAATGACAAGGCTACAGGGCAGGTGCCTCCGTTGCCTCCTCAAAAACACAGACTGGTTTTAAGGATAAGAACAACTTTTTTAAAAAAAAAATCTCTTGTGCCTTCATGGGAAAGAGTTAAGTCTTACTAAATTACTGTTTTTGCATATTCTGATTTTGGACAAATTTGATACATTTGTTAAGGCTTAAGTTAAAGAAACCACATCGCATCAAGCAAGCATGTAACTAAAACTGCTTAAGGTACATACACTGCATAAAATGCTAATTCTCCTACATTGAGTTTTTATAGATGAATGTATAGAGTGAAGTATACTCTCTATAATATATATATATATGTATATAATGAAATGGAAACTCTACAGCATTACTAATGGGAAGAAATAATTTTGTAAGTTTTCCTCAAGTGCTAATTTTATATTTCTGTATATCCTGGAAGCCTGGAACATTGCAACAGAGAGGCAGCAAAAGGATGTAAACTATTTCTATTTAGTACCATTTTGAAATAAGGCCCTTCACTAATCTCTCTCATTAGCTAATCGGTTTTTTTCAACAATGTATTTTGTTTCTTCCTTCTTGGCAAATGAAATATGTACGATAATGGTGTTCCTAGGCAATTATTCCCTCAGCCGGTAGGATCCAGACCCAAGTTTGTTGAACTTGGGTGCCTCCGCCAAGTTATTATTACTATTCATTACTGCATTTATGTCCCGTCTTTTTGTCCAAGGAGGTGTGCTTGGTTCGCCACATTTAACCCCCACAGCAACCCTGTGAGGTAGGTTAGGCTGAGAGAAGACTGTGACTGGCCCAAGGTCACCCAGTTAGCTTCATGGCCGAGTGGCCATTTGAACCCTGGTCTCCCGGGTCTTAGTTCGGCACTCTTAACCACGACACCACACTGGATCTCAAGTTAATACTGGGTTAAGTCCCGTTGATTTCAGTGAAGTAACTTAAGTCTGGATCCAAGAAACATTAGTAAATTTTAAAAAATACTACAACTGCTTAAACTAAACTACAGGTTAAAATTAATCCCAGGAGATATCAGTTAAATCTGGTGTGCCAAAGCTTTTTAAGATCAGATTACACCATAAACTCTGACCATCCTAACTTCCTACCTCCAACTTCATGGTGCCAAACACTCTCAGTCTATTTTACTATTGCGGATTAATAGCCATTGGTCATAATAACTGCTTGCTAGAAACTGAGTGGCAAGTCTCGGTTGACCATGCAGGGGCACACTCGGCAAAGGAGCACAGCCCACCGCAACTCCAACCCTATGATAAGTGGGTGTTCAAGATGTACAGTACACCAAAAAAAAAACCTGTGTGAAGCAAGGACGCTGTGGCTTTTGCAGCACACAGGGGAAAATGAAGAAAAAGCTTCAGAGTCAGCACACATCCTGAGGAAAGCATGGCGTTACCAACAGTTTGTGCAAAGGACTCGGTAGAAAATGGGAGGTAGGGAAAGTAACGTTACTATGCAGTCTGTCTCCCCACATCCTTTTGCCTCTTAAAAAGAACTGAAAAGGGGCCCGCAATACTGCCATCTCATCATAATCAGAGGTAGTTTTTTTGTTTTGTTTTGTTTTTAAAGGAGAGCAACGGGCCCAAATTCTTTTCCCAAGAATTATTTCTTCCCTGGTTGTAATCTTGAGAAATTCACAGAACTGAGAAAGGTGACAGCTATTTGCATGCACTGTTCTTAAAACTATAGAAAAGGCTGCCGTGAATTCGGAAATCTCTCATATCTAGGCTCACTCCAGAGGCAGCAGCAAAATTGTTCTTCCCTTCCAGACTGAGAATCAAAGTGTCACATATCTCAAGCAACAAGCTCACTCTTTTAAGGATATCCTTAATGTGGGATAAAAGTTACTACACCCTTATGCTCCTTAATGGAGTTCTGCCAGATTTTGAACAGCTGACGGGAAAGGCAGGAGATTTTTTTGCATTGTAAAGTAGTATTTAAAGTAGGATAGTTCCCGTTTGACAATTTGGTTGCTTCAGCAGACTTCAGCAGAATTTCAGTAACTTAAATCATAACCCTTGCTTGAAGTCTCTAGCCCTCAGCGTCATAAAGCCTTATGAACACTTCTCCCAGCCTTAAGTGGTTGAAGGGACAAATTACATCAATCTCTGGCAATTTAGCAGTAACACCCTTCTTCCCCAAGGTTAAGCCCTCTCTTGTAATTCAGGGTCAGTACAGATGCCATGCTGGTTCCCTTAAAACCATGGTTTGGCAACATGCGTAAGAGCCTAAAGGTCCATTGACACCAGTATCCTGTTTCCTGATGGCTCAGGTGGCTTCAGGAACTCCACCAGCTTCAGACGGCGGTGGAGAAGGGGCAGAGAAAGAAATAGGCTTCATTGTGCAAGCCAGTGTTTCCCAACCTATGGGTCATGAACCACAAGAGTCGCAAAGCCTGTGCAAACGAGTCACAGGCTTTATAAGTAAGCCCAAAATAAATATTGTTAGTAACCTTTAACTGGTGTGATGAATGCCTCCTGCAACTTTTCATTTCGTTGGCATATCATTGACGCTTGTGGCAATAAATTTATGGGTCACCACACCAAATAAATTCGGAGTTGTGAGTCACCGTATCAAAAGAACCACTGGTGTAAGCTACACCTCAGTGGCTGACCACACATTTTGCATGCAAAAAACCCCCGCCTGGTTCAGTTCCTGGCATTGCTAAATAGAATTGGTGGACTCCTGCTAGAAAACCCTGCAGAGTTGCTGCTAATCAGCCTAGGCAGACAATATTGAACTAAGTAGACCAATGGTCTGTCCATTTTAAGGTAGCTTCCTACATTCCACACCTAGTGCCACACACCCAAGTAGGCTCTGAAATTGTGCTATTTGAACTGCCATCTTCCTTTTGCCACGTGACAACCCACATTTGAAACTCCAGGGAACATTCAAGCACAAACTGTGATACGGGACAGCAGGGTCTGTTGCTCAAAGACAATCCCCAAGGGATTCACATAGCTCTATGGATCTCAGGCTTCAAAGGATGGGAAAAATTATGAACAGATCTGTTTGCAAACTACTGGTGAACATGACTATTGAATAGTACAAGCACTGTTACTCTCCTGAACGATGAAACTTATGATGACTTGCATTAACTATCAAGTAAGTAAGTAAAGTAAGTAAGTTATGGATAACAGCCCTATGACATATCCAGTGACAATCATGATAGCAATATGTGTATGTATAAATGAGCACAATGAATTCGCTCGTCAGAATAATATTATGATTACAAGACAGCTTTCTACAGTTTAGTTTGAGATAAAAGCACCTTATTTGCACTCACTTCAAGATCTTGGGTGTGACCAAATTCTCATACCGTGAAACAGAACACACTCATAATATAAAACATTCAAGAATATATATATATTTGCACATTTAGAGTTTATATAAGTTAGTGACTTGTGTAGGGAAAAATAGCATCTTGAAGTTCGAAGAAAAAATACCTAAATAGAATCTCAAAAATATTCAACACATAATGTCATCCTAGGTTCAAAATAAGTTTGAAGCACCTTCATGTCACCCTCTGTTAAAACAAGAGACCTTATATATTATTTTACATATGTGTGCACATCTGGATTCATAGCTAGTATGCACGAGAGAACTTGGGACTTGTGTTTTCAAATGGCAAGCCCTCATATGCAAAAGAAGCAAACCTCAGCTGAAGCAAAAAGGGAATCTTATCATTAGCCTGTGATATGGAATAAGGGCCTGCCATTTAAAGGGAGAAGTACATGCCCAAGTCCCTAGGGGGTAGCTTTTTAGATCCTGGCCAAATATCCCATGCACACACATGCTCCTACACCTAAGGCATTCAAACATTTCTTATTGGAAACAACAGTTTGAGGGGGAGGGTTGCAAATACAGGGTAAAAGTGGACCCGTCCATGATATCACTGCAATTCTTCAAGCCATATTAAATTCATTAAAAACAACAACTTTCTTCGCCTTTGCAAAGTAGGCCGCATCCTGTGGGTTCTATCCAGACTGCTTGTTCTGATAAAGGATGCTATAAGACCCCGTATGGCACTTGGCTTCTCTCAGATTAGAAGCCAGTAAGTTCATAGCGACTCAGGTCCTTTGGTGAATTTCGGCTACTCTCAGTAATATTAAATCACATCTCAAAAAAGGGGGGGAACGGGATATTCTAATCTCTTTTGAAGTATGAAGGAGGTAGTCTTTAAACTGTACCAGCTTACTAGTTGAAGAGTCCTCTGCTGCAATCTGGCCGTGCCGTTTTAATTCTATGACAATACTTCGGGGATCATCGTGAAAAGAAGAGACATTTAACTAGGGTGGAGTCAGGTACACAGCAGGCCAAATGAACAGGCTTAACATGGGGTGGGAGGGCTGAAATAACTTCACAAACAGGGCAGGGGCTTCTCTGTCTGCTTTAAGCGTGCCAAAGGGTAGTTCAACAGAAGTTGGAGCCAATTACTAACAGGTACATTTGCAGCCCAAAGAATAACTGGCCACAGAAAGATCAATTCACAAATCACAAGCTATCCAATTCACAAGCTATCCATTTGGTCTGCCCATTTAATTAGTATGGAGAATTCATACAAGGTTGAGTGAGAAAAGCTCCATCAGGTAAGCAGCCCTACGGCACAGAATGAAGCCCAAGCCCACGTTTTGCCCTCTGTCCAATGGTTTCACATAGCCGCTGCAACAGTGGCTGAGCCCAAAGCCACGTTAGAGCAGCCAAATGAATCAGATGCTGAGGTTCTCCACCAGTCATTTTTCTTGGCACATCTCCCAATCTGCATTCTTTGTAACCAGACAGCAGCATGGCCGACTGGTCAAAAAGGCAGTGGTAAAACTGCAGGGCAGAGAGCTATGTATAACTGATTATACCAGTGCATAAAATCGGGGGGGGGGGGGGATATTTTGCAAGCAAAGTGCATTTTGGAAAGGGACAAAAAAAATGAAGCTATGGAGTGAAAGCAGACAAAACTTCACTAAAATATATAAAGCAAATTTAGCAAACTGTCCTTCAAGGATTTGTTGGCTACATACAAATGGATAAAATGCAGAAACTAAATATGAGCCTTTATGTTCCTCTCTTAATACTGTAAAATCAGACGCTCACTCTAGAAATACAACAATGAATGTGACAATTTCTCCCTTGTCTCATCCTAACGCTATGTACAGTATTGTTCCAATAGCTACAGCAGACGCAAACAGAAAACCCTTTACAGTAAAAAAATTTAAAAAATCAAAAAAAATATCAGTGCAATTACATCCTGCTTGAGTTTTTCCTAGAAATGATGGCCTGGATGCTTTTAGAAGCGAACTGTCAGTGACTACAAATGCGAAAGGAAGATATAATGCATGGTCTCATATCCATGGATCTTAGCCAGTGCCATTTCGAAATGAACAAAGCTACCAAACAAAAATAACTGCTTTTGGAGAAACGAATTGTAACTGGAACACAAAACTTTAATCTACAACTGCTACCTACTAGTGACAACATTTACATTCTTTTCCTTAGGCAGAAAGACCTTATGGCTTAAGTAATGTCACAGGAGTTGTTCTCTGGGTTATATCACATGTGGCGAGATTTATACCTACAACCCCTAAAGCTAAGGACCAAAATCTCATCCCAAAGTGTCAGTGGTCACAGGTGATGTGAAAAACCTGAGACCCTGAAGAGCTGTTCCAGACTCGGTGATAATGAGCTAGGTGGACGACTGATCCGTCTGAACTGGTGATAAGGCAGCTTCCAACTAACGCCCAGAAGTGAAGATGGGACATGGGACTGTGAAGCGTTGCTAAGCACGTAAGATCTAGTTCATTTCTCAAGGGGGTGGGGAGAGACTACACGGACTTCAAGAGATAAGGCTTGGCGCTCCTATTGTGTGCTTGCATATAACTGGATACTTCCAATCCCACCTGTTCCCGATAACTGTTTTTCAGCTCCGGGGGTGGCAGCCTTAGACATATATATATATATATATGTCAGGTTGGTAGGCGACCCAGGAGCCCATATTAATGTTTAAGCCAATCCCATATCCAACAACCTAGATCAGAAAGAGTGAAGACTCATAGAACTATCTCCAAGAAATTGGAGCTATTAAGATGCTGCCATAGCCTAGGTCACAACAGTCTACATGATGCTTCAGATGTTGTTGAGCTCCCATCTCAGACTCCTGGTTGGGAGCTGGTGTTCAACAGCACGCAGAAGGCACTAACTACGCTGGCTCCTCCTAACTTATGCAATCTTTTTTACCACCTGACTGCTACATGTTATCTGAATTTTAGGTACAGGCAGAAGCAGCTCAAATAACACAGGTAATCTCCAGCATGTGCAAAGCTGAGGAGGAACAGGAGAGAGGGCGTTGTGAGATTTCCCATCTCCCCTGAACAAACCCATCACAGCTCAACTTGGAAGTCGCCACATGCAACCACACAGTATGTCCTTACAAGTCAAGACTAGCAACACACACACACACCCCTTGGCAAGTTTTTAGATGTGAATTATTCCAGTGCTCTAGCCATTGTTATCATAAAATTCAACAACACAGCTTCAAATGTGCTGCATATCCCAATCAAGTCAGCACCAGAACAGTAATGAAAGCTAGGCAGGGGCTTGATTGCGCCTGTGCTCAAGACCCAAAGCTGAGGAGGAGAGGCAAAGAACTTGGCTGGGCTCAATACATGATCTAACGTCAGTAACAACTCCAAAATGTGGTGTGGGGAGGAGATCTGGCCATGGCTGGCTTTGGCTCTCACTCCCGTTGTCATTTATCTCCGGCCGACAACCTCTGAGCAAGCAAGGGGCAACAATGCCAATCCTCATATGCTCCAGAAGGCATCCATGTTCTCTGCATCAAGAATGCATATTTTTAAAAGGCACAAGAGACCAATTATAGTGTGTTTTGCTTTTTCAGATAAAATGGCTTCAGTTATCATTGCTGGTTCATTGGTTTGCGCTCTGAAACAGAAGCAATTCCATTGGTTGCTGCTTTCTTCTTTTTTTACATCCCAATACTGCTAAAATTGTAAAGCAAACAAAAACAAATAAAAATAGGAAACTTGCACACTTGAATTCTATAGGGTGTTTCCACCACCCCTCAAATCTTCCCACGATAGGAGGTTCCTTACTTGGCAACATGAAATTGACAGCAAAGCAACTGGTTTTGCTAGGGCTGAGATGTCAGCCCCTTGTTCTTCTTTTTTGAGACGTTACAGGAATTTATAAGCATCAAACAGGCAATAGCACACATAAGAGAAGTGAGGGGGAACCTGCAGTCCAACAACATCTGAAGGGCCACAACTCCCGTCCTCCCCAACCATTGTCCAGCTAGCTGGGTCTGATGGGAACTGTATTACGACAACATACAGATTGTTGTATGTTCCCCATCCCTAGCACAGATACACATCCAGCAGAGTCTAATCCTTACAGGTGAAGTTTGAGAAAGGACTGCAGCATTTACAGGCAATGCAACTCTGAAACACCTGTTTGGCTACAACTGAGTGCTGATGCCATTTTAAAAAAACAATTATGGAGGTCAATCAGACCCAGTTTTCTCTGCATGTGAAAAGGGAACAACTTTTTAAAAAAGGAGAAAAAGAAGCCAAATTCCTAACAGAACCAGTTTTATTACAAATTGATTCCAACAATAAGTAGATAAAATTTAAAAGCACTTCCAGGTATATGACACAACCCTGGACTCCCCTCAGTTTTTTTTGTAAACTATTCTCCTTTGTTCTCATGGAGAATATTTTGGATAAAAGTGTATGAAATCATTCACCTGAGATATTGCTGTGCTTTCAAGAGTCATTGTAGTAAACAGCTGTGTAGAAAGATGTATTCTTTGTTTCAAATTGGAGTTTTGGTTTATGCATATATTATAAAAAGCAGTTCCTGTGCATAATCAGAGTGCCCTATCTTTTCAAAGTGCATTGTCAATGGTTCAAAAACGAGCTTTACAACCCCTCCCCCCGATGCTGAATCTTGCTAGACACTAGTTCACCATGCATCTAACAATAAGAAAGGAAAAAAGCCTTAAAAAAAAAATACAGTATACAAGATTAAAAGAAAGAAAACAACATGCATTTATCCTTTCTGCCACACAATGATATCTAACTTTCAGAAAACGACCATATTCCTTCTACACAGGTAGATACTCACATGAAATTGCTGCACATGCCAGTGACAACATTAATTCTTTGGAGAAGGGTCTACACAAGCCCAGGCAACAATTGTGGACATGCATCTGCAGTCTGAGAGTGCTGATTCAATGAAGATAATGGAAATGGAAGAAATGAAAAGAACTAAGTGACTGCCAGCTAGCACCTAGAAGATAGCCGCTACTATTTTAGCTCGTTGCTAGTTAACAGCAGCTGCGGGAAAGAGCTCTTTGCATTGACGTGACCACCCAGTTCTGAATAGGAAGACAAGGAAAATTCTACCATCTTGGCCTACCTCCTTCTGCCTGATGTAGCTTCAAGATGACAGAGAAACAAGGAACTAACGAATTACTGTCACCTTATGTGCCAGCCTAGAACAGAACTAGCTTAGATTAGCTTTTAGAACCAGCTCGTTCACCAACTGAACAGTGGTGAACCCCAAATATCTCTTCACATTTCAATCGCTTCCCTAACGCAAGCTGGAAAGTGCAACAAATCCAGGAAGAAAAAGGTAAGATGCTATAAATTCAAGGAGGAGATGTTGCGATCTGCTTTTCACAGCAGAATGACAGAGACCCTGACTGGGTCCTGTTTTTCTTGAAAAAATCAAGCTGCTGGAACTGCAGTGTCCAGAATTTTCACACACACACACACACACACACACACACACACACACACTTTAAACAAAAGAAAACATGACATACTCATGCCTCAAAAGCCTGTCTGTTGTTCCAGCAGATCTGTTTGGCATTATGAGGCACTGCTTACTAGGTGCAGACTTTAACTGATGTACAGCATAAATTAGATTCCTAGAATTTAACAGGCAACAAAAAAAATTGAGCACTCTGTTGCCCAGGCATCAACTATCAGTTCTATAATACCGTAACAACCTTAGCACAGCCTGATCCCATTTCCCCCACTTCTTGAATAGAGAAATGGGAACAAATCTTGCAAAGCAGCTGTTCTGCTGTTCAGGAGAGAAAAAACAAATCCGATGGTTAAGATGGTTTTAAAAGCATAAAAAGTACTTAACACTGACTTGATGTGTTTAGCTCTTTTCTTTCTTTTTGTAAACTCCAGCAAGGTCAGATTAGGAGGGAAATTTCCTGGGCTTTCTTCGACAGTATCTTAGTAGTGTTCCTGTTGCCATCATTAGTGCAATGGTATTTGTCGTTAGTCACCTATATGAATCTTGTGCAAATGTACAGAAGCTTTTATTTTTAAGCAGGTCTCTGTTTGAATTAATGCTCCTCCAAAGAGAACGGCAAACCTCCCCCACCTCTGTCTATTCATGCTACGCAAAACAGTTGACACTTCACTGCCCAAGTACACACCAGATCTCTTTTCCTTTCACTTCTCTGTCTCAGATGATCGAACAGGAAAGTAATTTTTTGTGCTTTAATGAATCAAGAACTGTTCCTTCATGCCTAAACTACTGAGTGTTAGATCTACTGAGCTGGATGAGCTCAGCAAGCCCTTCCAAATATAAGCTAAATAAAACGATATATACACCAGGTAAATCTCTCAACCCTGCCTCGTTAAGTCAGTTGCATATTCCTGCTTTTGAAAGGTGCAATACACCAAGCATTGCTAAAGCCTGCCCTCTATTCATTTCAAAGAGATGTGGGTGAAACATCACACACAAGGCCTGTTGAAATGAATAGAGAACTTGCAAAAGCTACGGTTGGTGAATTCCAACCCAATTCACTAGTGTCCCCATGATAAACTTCTCATCTCAAATCCAAAGCATTCCTGAATTTATGATATGTTAACAGAAGTTGAGCTGATCACTCCTTAGTAAATAAAAATAAATAGCATCTAGTCTATCATGTTAATACTGTGAACATATATAATTTTTACATTAATTCAAACATAACAGTGAAAAAGATTGTACTGTATCACCACAGACCCGTATTCTTTAGAAAAGCTTTGGAAAATTAAGTGTCACAGTCCTATAGGACAAACTCCATGATTAGTAATCAAAATGGATTTTTTTAAGGAAAAAAAATACATTTTTAATGGCACGCTTTGCTAATCTTTCAATGGACCTAATAAAATGTATAATAAACTCCTTTTTCTTCCTGAAATAATTCCATTATTCATTCTACGAAAAACTTAAAACAGCACAATGAGAGACATTCAAGAACTTCAAAAAAATACTTTTTTGCCCATAGACCCCCACAGACTGTTCATCTAGAAGACAGCAAGGGGCAAACAGGATTCTCCCCTTTTGCATCTCAATACTAAACCATTTGTGAATGCATCCAAAATGACTGAGGATTTAAATGGCACCGAATTAGCACTTCATTTTCTTTTCAGGAATAAAAGCAAAATTCATAGGTTTTTCACCAACCCATTAAGCCTGATCTTAATTGGGTATTTTCAGATTAGTTACAAACAAGTATATCTGTAGAAAGGCATAACTAAATGAAAAGTGTTGTTTTTAGCCCTGAGATCACAGCTCTAGATTTAGTTACAAAAGGTGGGTTTTGATTTGTTTCTTTTTTGTTCCTTTCTTCCTGACAAGCAGCTTCTGATTTTGGCAAATCCAAACTTCTAATAGCCGTGCAATTTTGTACAGGTCTGCAGTTTGCAATCAAGTCTGAAATTCCGGACGGAAGGCTTCCTTGCAAATGAAAAAAAACAATACTAAAAATTAAAACCTAATAAAATTATGATGCATCACTCATTGCTGGCTGTCGCTGTAGCTGGGGCAACTGTTGGTCTAAGTGCAGCTGGTCTCCTGTGAATCCAACTTGGAACTGAGTTACTTAAAGCACTGCAACATGTCAAGCGAAGTACATGGTGCGCAATGTATCTTGATGAACCTGAACAGCTTTTGCAAGTGCTTGATGATCTCTGCCATTGCTCTGACCAGACGTATGACTCCCTTCGGCACTAGAAGATAAGAGGGGGGGGGAGGAAAGACAAAACTCACTTTATTTATCTACCCTGAAGTAATTTTCCACAAGGCAATTCTGATGTTTCTAAACAGTGTATTCAGTTCGTATCAGAGGATCTTTTAAAAATTAAAAAGCATGCACTCTACAAGAAATCTAGCACACTTTAGGCCCATTATTAACCCAAACTCTTTTCCCTGAGCAAGGGAAAATTACAGGCAACTCCAACTAGAGAATCAAAAATCTCCAATTGGCTCCAGTTCACTATGCTAAAACAAAATGGTTCTTGGTTTGGTACATCTGCTGTAGGAATACTGCTAAACCTGAGACATCCCAAAACCGTAACAAGGTTTGAGTGTGAAAGGACCCAGAAATCAAAGATGTAAGCACAGATACACATATACACACACAATAATATAACCCCTTTAAAAAGTTTCAGTTACTCATCTGGAAAGCTATGTATAGGATCGCACTGTCATTTGATTATCTATTCTCAATACCATCCTACTATTCTAGCCATGGTTGTTTCAAGATACAATTATCTTCCTATATTGATGGATTTTTATCTGGATTTATTTTATGTTTATCTAATTTTTAATTTGATCTGTTGTTCACTGCTTCGTGGGCCTTTGGGTAGAAAAGCAATAAATGAATACATTTTAATAATGATGAATGACAATTTGAACCCCTCTACATAAAAATTGTGATTCGTTGTTATTATTAATCACAAGAAAGTGAGCTAGAATATACTTTCATGGAGCTAGGAGAAGCAAATTATACAGCCTCCGGGCAAGCTACACACAGACTTGCACTCTGCCCATTTCCATCAGTCCCAAGCAAGTTTCTCACCTATCATGTTCTTTATCCACCAGATGATACCTGGCTCTGAAGGCAACCAGGTGTGCATAGTATGCTGGTGCAGGGATTGAAACAGAACGAGTACAGCGTACATATGTATGACACAGTTGGTAGGTAAGGATTTGAAGCTCATCTGAAGAGAAACGATTGTCATCCCAGAGAACGTGGTAATGAGATGGCCTGCTTGTCCCCTGAAAAGAGAACAAAGAAACAGAGGTTTTCTCCTTCCACATCCAAGACCTAAATGGACTGAACACACCACACTGAATTTCTATAAGCTATCCTATGAATAAATATAAAATATATCTATAAAGATATACATAGATATATATGAAATAATTCCTTTCATTTGAAGGAACCTATGAGTTTCATTCAAACCCTGCCCAGAAGCTTAACTATGATTTGTTTATTGCCAACAAGTCACAATCTGAAAAGCCATGCTTTGCTGTTGGCTAACAAATCTTGGTTTGTTTTAGCTATGGCATGTTAGGTGCAAACCTGGAACACTTTCATAACCAGAATTTGGCCACCTCATCTCAGACCATCACCAAGTTACAAAGGCACAAGGCAAGAGCAGCTGGAAAACAAACCAGGCTGTGGAGAACCAAGCCATGGTTTACTTGATCGTCTTTGCAATATTTCTAGGTTAACTCGTGGTTTGTTAAAACAAGCCACGGCTTAAGTGTTAAATGAAACCAGGCCAATCTTAGTACAAACCTATTATTGTTGTTGGACACAGAGAGGTGCCCAAGACAGAGGAAGCTCAAAAGAGGTTTGACACATGCTGGGCTATAAGAAAAAGATTAAGTGAAGATAATTTGGTTCATCCCACTTTTGGAGTGTGCACCAATTCAGAATTGCTAGTTTAGGGGTTGACACAAGCTTCTTGGACCAGTGGGCACATTTTGGAATTTTGATTTTGAGTGTGCTGGAGGCACCAATCACAAAACATCTGCTATGGTAACATGGAATCCCTTCAAGATTTCTTTTTTAAAAAATGTTTCTTTTTATACTTTCTAAACATTTCATGAACCCCTATTTTTTCCAGGAATAATTTTAAAATATATTCTCGTATGATATACCATGTATTTATTTTGAAAATTTATAAACCACTTAATAAAAATAAAATAAAAATCTCCAAGTGGTACACACGTTCAATTATATATGAAATATAACTAAAATATACCGTATTTTTCACCCTATAGGACACACTTTTTCCCCTCCAAAAATGAAGGGGAAATGTTTGTGCGTCCTATGGGGCAAATGCAGGCTTTCGCTGAAGCCTGGAGAGCGAGAGGGTCGGTGCGCACCGACCCTCTCGCTCTCCAGGCTTCAGGAGAGCCCCACCGCCAGCCCCACAAGCTCGGGGGACAGCGGGGAGGCGGAACCCTGCCGTCCCCCGACTTTCTTAGAAGGCTGGCGGGGTGGAGAAGCCTGCTCCTTCCCGTCGCCAGCCCCGCAAACTCGGTGGACAGCGAGGAGGCACAGCGCACATTTCCGGCTGTCCCCCGACCTGGTTTGGAGGCTGGCGGAGGGCTTCCCCCTCCCCCAGCCCCGCAAGCTCCCAGAGCGATGCCAAAGCTGCGCGCAGCTTCGGCATGGCTCTGGGTCCCGTTCTGGGGGCTGGGGTCGGGGGAAGCTCGGGCTTCCCCCACCCCAGCCCCGCACCTGGGGGGGGGGAATATTTTTCTTTTTCCTTTATTCCCCCCCCCCCCCAATCTAGGTGCGTCCTATGAGCCGGTGCGTCCTATAGGGCGAAAAATACGGTACAAACCAATTAAAAACAAACATACATAAAATAAAACATTTAAAACAAATGTAACTCAATGATGCATCTGGATAGGCTTGCTGAAACAGAGGTTTTCAGCAGGCATCTAAAGCAGTACATAGTGAAAGCACTGGCCTAATATCAATAAGCAGGGAGTTCCAGACCACAGGGGCTGCCACACTAAGGGTATGTGGTACAAGGAAGAATAAATAATAAATCTAGGACACACACAGCTAAAATGCACAGGAGACAGAATAGTCATAACACAATTGGTCTACAGAATGAGATGACACATTAAGAATATACCTGAATACCAGCATGACTACACAGATAGAAGTCAAACTCTGAAGGGTGGGTGATTTTTGTGTCCACTGTTGTACCTGCTGGAATGTTTCCACTTTTCCCAACCTGTGCAAACAAAAAATAATGAGACTTAAGCTTTTGTTTCTTCTCGTCTGTACTATGAAGCTGCAATACAGGAGCAAGCAAATGTGCATTTGCTTAAAAGGTTGTTTAGATGCTACAGTATAAATGGTTGATGACCGTTTCTATTTTATGATCGGCGTCTGCTGGATGGGGCTGGGCTACTTATTTCAACACCTGCAGGCTGTTGCTTATTGTCAGCCTCTTTACAAAATGTGATACCCACCCTTTCATTTTTGTCTGTACAGAAGAGTCTGGTGTGATGCCTTTTCTGCACAACAATGAATGTGATTCCAGGCTGGTAGTCTTTTTCTAGCTTAATACATGCTTCTCTGATAGCCAGCAATTCATGATGGAGGACCTACAGGGGAAAAAAGGGGGGGGGTGCAGGAAATGTAACATTCTGAAATGTCACAAACACATAGACACTAGTAGGAAAATGCATTTTTTAAAAAAATCTGTCTGTTTACATTTTCAGAGCTTGCTTCAGGTATTTCCCCTGCAGCAGAACAGGTGATCTTAAGACCTATCCTACATTCTTCACTTAATGAGATTAAACGAGATTGTTGAGAACTTGGAGGAAGATCAACATTATAATAAAAACCTGTATAGGTCCAGGCATGTTGCGGCGTTTGGCAAACCCCACATTTTCCAGTGCTGTTAATCAGCCACATATAGACTTTTAAATCTAAGGTTCAGACAACACTGAAATGAAAGGTTTATGGGTAGAGAGCGAGGGCCATGGACCTTACCTGCACCCTTCGCATGTGCAAATTCCCCCAGCCCCTTTCTGTCCACTTGCAGCATTATACAAAGCGTTTGGGGTACCCTCCCAAACTAATTTTGAGAACTCAGCTTTAAAAAAGCTTTCATATACATATATAAACCCCAGAGAGATACCATCATAGCTGCAACAAGAATACAGTAGGCCCACAATTCTGGAGATTGTGCCTAAAGCCAAAATAGGCAAAACCCATTGGATTCAATGGTGGGTGGGAATGCCAAGTAATTTTTTCCTGGAACCTGACACCTTCTCAACCCCTTCTTATTATTTTTTTAAATAGCCACACATGTAAAGCTGAATGAACACAAGTTGCGGGTTTTACGTATTCAAATAGCTCTGTTAAGGACTGATCCTATTATAATTTCAAGATTTCCGTGCTGGGGCACTCAATGACTTTTATTCTTACAAACAGGTGTGCCTGGGATCAAGCTTCCTTGGCTCAGTGGTCAGCCATTATCTGTGGTCTGCACTAAGCCCCTCCCCCCTTTCTCGAGTCTCCGGCTCTTGCCAGAGAGAAGAAATAAGCAGTGAGAGACTCATGTTGTCTTCTGCAGAATAAAGGCAGAGGGCTCTTCTATCAGCTCACACCAGGAAGCATTATGGCTGGGGACTTCTGCCACTTCTTCAGAGCACAACATGATACCACCATTTTGATGGAGTGTTGGACAACAGCCTTGGACCTGCCACACTTGCTCAGCCTAAACTACCTCACAAAGTTATTGTGAGGGGAAGGAGCTACCCCCAAAGTCCTTCAAAGAAGGGTGGAAATACAAATGTAAGGAATAACCATGCATCAACAAAAGCCATCTATGCAACCTTTCCTAAAACAATGCTATACAAAGAACACAGCAAAATGTAAATAGCAAAAGCGTATGTGGGGGGGAAGATAACCTGTTGGAATTGCCCCTCAGAAACACCATCTCTGTAGAAAATAATCCGAGTTGGTTTGAATCGGGTTGATTTGTAGAACTGAATGAGCAGCTCCCTGACCATGGCAGCCAAGTCTTGGATGATCTCTTGGCGGTGCTGCTGGACTCTCACAGTGGCACAGTATCGATTAGGGTGGGCATCCATACTACCTACAACCTGTTGGAGAACAAGAGAGTTGTTTTAATGAGCTGGTTCATTTAAGAATATGGGGTAGAAACAGGAGTTACCTCATATCCCTTTTCCAAGCAAGTCTTCCCAGATCTTTAATCATTCTAAAGGTGGCATTTAACTGAAGGAAACGTCCAATCAGTCTGCTAGGCTATCCTATGTAGTTGCCACCCTCTCCTTACAAGGAGGGAGGCAGATGTTTGTCCAGCAGCATGGTTCCCCACCCCCCTTCAAAAAAACAACAACATGCAGATTGGGGTTTTCTATTCCTTCCATGCCTAGAAGAAACAGAGGCTCTGCAACTATCCTGAAGCTTAACAGTGTCAAAAAGGCTAGACGTGTATAAAATTTGTGTGGTATGGAGAAAGCAGATCTTTCTCCCTTTCAAAAAAAATACCAGAATTCGGGGACTTAGGCAACTGTAATACTACTATGACACATTGAATGCAGAGTGATATGATATTTAAGGGGTCTTCATGAAGTAGGTACATGTACCAGCCCAACAAGCCTGTCACATCCTTAACTTGGTTACGAGGGCCGGCCACTAATTTACATCCAGGTTTAAAGAACCCACTGGGACCAAGCAAGGGATGCAATATTGAACCTCAAGGCACTATTGTTTCACCTTGCATCTTCACCTGAATCATCTGCATAGGGCAAGAAAAAAAGACACATTTGTGAGTCCTGCTTGGGCTCCCTTTCAGTGAAGAAACAATGGACCAGGAGCAGACTAAGCATTGACTACCTGCTGTCATTATTCTTCATTTCTCACTACCTGGCTTGCAAACAGAAGCCTCGTCTAAATAGGATTAAACTAGCAGAAGGGAACAGACCCGGAGTCTACAGCCACTCACTACAAATGCATGGGAAAGAAGGGGTCTTTTTTCAGCTCCGAGATGAAACCTTTAAAAAACCCTGCCCCAGACCAGACAGAGAAGATGGCACCACAGTGTTTTGGTCCACTGGGGGGCACATGAAGAAAAGGAACTGCTCCCTTGCTAATGCAACTACTGAAAAACACTGTATGTACAGCGGTGCGGGGTGGGATATGTTTGATGTGACCGATACACAGTTTACTCACAGCAGCAATGGATGGTTTTTTCCCATCTCCAGCTGGTGGATGAGTGACATCTGCACCCAGGAAAATTACAGGTTGCTGAAATACTGGAGGCCTAGATAATAATAAAAAAAATTATAATAATACCGAAGAGTCACATAGTAAGTTAAGAGTCAGTAAGGTAAGCCCAACTTTTCTTGTTCCACGGTGGCATTACCAAACAGGCAGAATGGGAAATGGCTTTGCGCGAAGCTTCTAAAGGCACTCCAAAGTGGCAGGAATTTGGACTGCTTCCAAGTGCCTCTGGAATGCAGAATGATGTCAAGGGCAAGACCTGCCCTTTCCTCAATTTGGGGTGGGGCAACTACTGAGGCCAACCAAAATTTGTAGACATGCCAATAATACATGTGGATGCAATGTACACCCTTTACACACACCCAACACTGACGGACCTGTTATTCAATAGCTGCTCCCCGTTTTAAACTTGGCAAAGGAGAAAAGATTGCTTATCTTTACGAAAGGGACTTATACTTTGGTTCACAAATGCATGTTTCTCTTAATTAGTGGAAAACAAACAGACAAACTTTAAAATGGCATTTCCCATTTAGTCACTCTTTGGGGCATTACCAGATATATATGCTTAATATAGTCAGGACTTATTTTTGCAGCCTCTAAAGACGTGTGCCCAGTTTTGGGTTTTTTTACTCCCCCCATCCCACTATTTCAGCTTGAGACGCACCCAACCCTAGCATGTTTATCACAAATGCAACTCTTAACCATCCCTCAAGCACAATGCAACAAGATGCAAATTTCTTTCAAGTCTAAACTATGTATTATTTTTCATTTGTTTTATCCTGGCCATCAGGATTCAATGAACAAGGCAACTTTCATTTTGCGCTCGCTCTCTCTCTCTCCTCCAGCTACAGAATTAATCAAGCATTATGTGTATCAGATTCCAGGTTTTTAGTCTTACTATAATATGTTAATTAAAATCTAGCCATGGAAATAAACTTTTTTTAAAAGCAGTCCTACAGGACAAAAAAAACTATGCTGCACTGAATATAGCTACTTCTCAGAAAATTAGGATGCAATGGATGTGCACATTTATAAACTGTCTACTTACTCAGTTGTTTACACACAGAAACCCCTTACCTTCCCTGAGGCAGTAAAATGTTATTTACTCCTCCCAGTTTGACATTGATCTTTAAGCACAGATTGGAAAGTGTCTGTGGCGTCGTTCTCTGCACATTTTTCATCTGCACACACTGTGTGGCCATGCCGAGCACAGTATCACCAACACGCTTCACCTCAGCTGCCAAGTGAAAGAGAGATCCAGTCAAGTCACTCTGGCACAGGAGATCATCAGACTACCTCTCGATATGAAAATAACCATACATTAAAATCAGGAAGACCAGAGTGTTTTCTACAGATGTCCCTGTCATCTGATGCAAGTTTGGGGGGGCGGTTCTTGGTGTGTGGGGGGCTTCTCAGTAATGATGGTGCTCCGATTCTGGATGCTCGCTCCAAAGAGACTCACCTAGAGTTTACGATCATTATATTTCAACACCAGGTAAAGACATCTTTATTTCCCCTATCTTACTGCTTTACAGATGCTGCTTTAAGATGTACTGTCTTTGTCTGTTATTTCACCAGTTTTGCTGCGTTTTTCTCTCTCTTTTTTCGCAAACCAACCTGGGGTAGTATATAAATACTTATAATAAACAAACAAGCCTTGTATATAACCGTAAAATACACCATGTTATCAGCTTTCTGTGGAAAAGGGGTATGTGTAAAATAACATATATTAGTCTATGAAATGGGATGTGATTAAAATAATGCTGAGGGTTTCATTTCAAATAATTATTGTACACTAATGAGCATGTATGCCTATTGCTGTTATTCACCTTCCAAAATAATGATTAGGCAGGTCTCTGACGAAGTTTATAGAATGGGCTTCTGATGCTTAGGTTATCCTGACAAAAAGACTGCTCAGCAGCATACACACAGAAGTGAAATACAACACACACATACAAAATTATTTGTATGCCGCCTTTCCAGACTTAAATCCATGCTCAAGGCGGCTTACAACATGAAAGAAGTACATACTTACAAAGATAACAAAAATTAGTCATAAACAACAAGCAAAACACATCAAAAAGCACACAACCAAACTGAACCATTTCCACATGACTTAATCATAAGATGATCTAAATATAAAGATTAATATCAACAGCAGCAGCAACAAAAACCCATTAAAAAAACTCCCTAAGTCCTCAGTTCAAGAGTCTGTTTAGCAGCCTCAGTTACTGAAGCTGGAGTCAGCCAGGGCCCCACCTTCCCCCGCCAGGTGTGAAATGGCCTGCAAGACAGGGAGCAGCTCTTCCAGGACTCACAGCCAAGATAAACACAAAGCTTTGTTCCCCTGATGCTTATCATGCTACTTCAGAAAAAAGTGCAAAGCCAAACAGTCAATATTGCACTGCACACCAGAGACCTACATCAGGCAGTTCCTCTGGGAACAGTATGCTGCTGCATTAAAGGAAATCTGTACAGAAACATCTAGAACGCTATGAAATGCCAAGGCAATAAAAGGCCACACTGCATAAATTTAAATAGGTAAGTCAAATGTAACCCCTATATACTGACCATAAACTGGAGTTTTTCCTGGCAGAATGACTACTACGAGCTGCAATCCGGCGTAAGTGTTTTTTAGATGTCGGAACATTGGTTCCACGCTATCTGCTCCCTGGGCATATTTACAGAAACAGGGCTGACCCTGGATGGGCATTCCTGCATCTCGTGATATCTTCCTCAGTTGTTCTGTGAAGGACCTAAGAATAAAAATGAATCAAGGCACACATTTAAAGGAATGGAACCAGCACTTGACACTCATTAAAACCAATATAGTCTCGTTGGCTTGAGTGACACCTGAGTGTCTGCAATTTCCATATTTCTGATTATAGAACTCTTCTATTTCCATCCTTGGGGAATCCTCTAAACACTCAGGCCTATACACTGCTGCCAAGCAGATTCATGCCAATTCCTTTCCCTCGCAAAACAGCTACACTCCTACATGCAAGCAGCTGCACATACACTCCAAGGAAATAAGCAGTGTCTATATTCCCAAATACGAATGCGCACTTCAGGTTTCAGGGATCAAAACTCTCCTGACAGTTTATTATCAGTAGTAAATTTGGAGTGGTTTATAAATAAAACTAGTATTTATTTACCAAAGTACATGGAACCTTACAGTTTCAGAAGCAGGGGACAAGTCCATGGCCAAACACTTTAAGGCTGCAATTCTATGCATAAATGCTTGGAAGTAATAGCCCTGAAGTCAAGTAGAAGTCCTTTTCAAATTATGGTGCCTAGGTGCGGTCTTCACATTTTTGCAGTTCCCATTTCACACTAGTCAAATGCAACCATCTAGCCTTAAAAGTATGCAACATTTCTAATACGTATCTGAAGAAGTGTGCACGCACACGAAAGCTTATACCCAGAACAAATTTAGTTGGTCTCTAAGGTGCTACTGGACAATTTTTTATTTGCCAATAAGTAAATGAATACAGTGGTACCTCGGGTTAAGAACTTAATTCGTTCTGGAGGTCCGTAACCTTAAACTGTTCTTAACCTGAGGCACCACTTTAGCTAATGGGGCCTCCCACTGCAGCTGCACCACTGCCACACGTTTTCTGTTCTCATCCTGAAGCAAAGTTCTTAACCCGAGGTACAATTTCTGGGTTAGCGGAGTCTGTAACCTGAAGCATCTGTAACCTGAAGCGTCTGTAACCCGAGGTACCACTGTATTTATTTGTAAGAGATATCTGCTCCCCAATACTTCAATTGTATTAGTTGTATTTCTCATTTTTCTGGAGGACTGCATAGTTCTGCTGTTATGTTTAGAAAACTAATGACATGCTTAATACTTTCAGAAGCTATGAGAACACATTCAAAATCACTACCTGAACACGACTTCAATCTCTAACAAACTTACTTAAGGTGGACTTCAGTGCACTGGCGCTGTGGAGCAAAGCAAGCAATTGCCCAGACCTTGATTTCAATTCCAGTGTGAAACTGTTTGTTCCTCATATCCCAAACCCCTTGAACTGGTGTAGCTATTGCTTTGTTCTAGAAAGAGAGAGAAAACATAGTAGTGAGTGGTTTACTGCACGAAATAGCTCTGTGCTGCGATGGCTTTAAATACCTCAGTATCAAAATAGCAAGCCTCTACACATTCTGGGGAAACCATTAAAAAAAGAAAGTCTTCCACGGTACACCAAGGCATCTTGATCAGTCTCCCCCTTGGCCAGGAGTAAATGCATCCCAGACCCAGAATAAACCATGACTTCCGATCTCTGTATCCTTTTCCCTGCACACAACAAACTACATGTACAATCATCCACGAGCTATATTGGTAACATCAGTGGAAAAGACTGTCAGGGTAACTCCATCTATTGACAATACATATTTTTCTTGGCCAAATGCTAAAGGGCACCATTTGAGACTGCAAGATCGTCTACAGTATCACTGGAACAACTCCAAGAGAAAAGTATGTGCAAGAGGTTCCCCGCACTGAAACCTCTCCACTGGGAAGAAATAGGGGGACAAGAGAGTAACCCACCCTCCTGTAGATAGATACTCAGAGTATTCACACAGCAGCATCTGAAAGCCACAAACAGTAAAATCTGAAACTGTGGCAAAGTACAGCACTAACCATTATTCAACATCTTTACATACAAACCGGGGGGGGGGGGGGTTGATCACTGCAGATCCCACAGGATCTTGGTTTACATACCCTGCCTCCATAGAGAATTGAAGGAGGCTGTAGGACCCGCCCAGTCACATCCGTCATTTCATCTTTCACCATTATTCCAAATTCACGAACGAAAGGGTCAGTATTAAAACTTGCACTTCGCATCTGGAAACGAAAGATAAACCAATGATGAGACAAATACTTGATTAAAATACAATTCAAAACATCGAATTTGTCTGGATATGGCTCAGAAAACAGAGTGGGAATGAGCAGTTTCTGAGAACTGAGACTGAAGGACAATGTTATATGAATACCTGCTGCTTTTCGTCACTTATTATTCCCTGGCCTTCAGCCCCCTCTTACACAGCTCCACTTTTCTACTATATTCCTCTCTGTTTGCTAAAATGTTATCAAGCTCTTTGAAAGTCCAAACCAGGGAGGCAGTGTTATGTTTAGTAAATGCACCAGACATAGATGATTTATGCCAAGACCAGAAGCTGTGCTTCCTTTTTGCACACCATTATACTATTATTAATTATTAATTATTATTAATTATTATTATTATTATTATTATTATTTACTTATGCCCTGCCCATCTGGCCAGGCCTCCCCAGTCACTCTGGGTGGTTCCCAACAGGATATTAAAAACACAATAAATCATCAGGCATTAAAAACGTCCCTAAACAGGGATGCCTTCAGATGTCTTCTAAAAGTCAGGTAGTTGTTTATTTCCTTGACATCTGGTGGGAAGGCGTTCCACAAAACAGGCGCCACTACCGAAAAGGTCCTCTGCCTGGTTCCCTGTAACCTCACATCTCGCAGTGAGGGAACTGCCAGAAGGCCCTCAGAGCTGGACCTCAGTGTCCGGGCTGAGCGATGGGGTGGAGACGCTCCTTCTGGTATACTGGGCCGAGGCCATTTAGGGCTTTAAAGGTCAGCACCAACACTCTGAATTGTGCTCGGAAACATACTGGGAGCCAATGAAGTTCTTTCAGGACCGGTGTTATATGGTCAAGCTATGCCCCAATTCCAGGGACAGAGGAAGACGACTCACCAGTTTACTAATCTCTTCTTGACGGTCAGGTGCTGATCTAGCAGTTGCTCTTATCATAGTGGAAGTTTGATTGTCTGTCAGCTTCTTTATACACCTCTGTCCTGCCACTATGTTACATACCTGTACAAAGACCAAACACAAATTAGGTTTTTTTAAAAAATATCCAGAGGAATAGACATACTACTCTGTAAAATAGCAAAGAATCTTATAGAACCTTAAAACTAACAAGATAGACAGCGATATGAGGATGTTAGAAACTGTTATTACACTGGGATTTGAGTGATAGCCCATTGAAGGAACTAGTCAAGTTCAAACTTACTAATCTTTGGCAGTACCAAACATTTGATTGGGCCTCAAATAAATCAGATCTAAACAAACAACCTTAAACATACATTGTAACTTCATGCGAAGCAATCCCCAAAAGGCATAACAGAGTCCCATTATCTTCTAGGTGTTTACAAACATGCACCACACCAGGTCATTTGAGGGAATGAGAAGCCACTGCACACCCAATATCCCCATCGAGCCACCCCTTCACTTGGCCAATGCCATAAGATCAGAGCTGGTCTGGATAAAGGAAGCAACTTTCCACTGAATAGGCTCTATAAGCACTTCTGGCATTGGTTTTATTCTCCCCTACTATGGAGGGAAATGGCAGCCAATAGGAAACAGCTTTTCTACTCCAGCTGGCCATTAAAGAACTTGTAACTAAGAACTTGTATGTGAGCTTAGATATTTCCTCCTTCCTCCCAATTCAGTGTATGTGTGTGTGATGCCTTTTTCCACTGTAAGCCTGATTTGAAAGTCTTCTTTGGTTAAAGAGCTAGGTTAACATACCTTAAATAAATAAAAACATATCAAATTTCAACTAAACTACTTTGACAATGAGGGCGGGGGGGAACCTGTTAGAAATATGGAGTAAGGCCGACCCTCCTACACAGAAAAGCAATGACTTGCCTCTAGAGGGAGATATGTATGTTTCTGCTCCTGTCCAACTTGTAAACATGGAAGATGAGGGTATCGTAAAACCAGCTTGTGCCTATCTTTAAAGTATTGAGCTACAGTGCATTCAACGGTCTGTCCACTCTCCTGCTGAAGCGGGAATCTATGGAAAGTCAAATGTCAGGAGGGATATGCAAGTTAGTGATTTCACAAACTGTCCCACAATGCAACTTTACAAGGGCTCACTCACATCAGCCTCCAGACACTATATAGTCATAATACTTAAACGCTTTGCCTTTTCCAGCTCCCAGAGACTAAGTGCCTACAGGAAGCCACAAAAGGCATTTTCACTGTTTCTACATTCATTGGCTACAGTCAAACCACATTATGTTTCTAATAGAGTTTCAATCACCCTTTGAAGATAAATCACAGCAGTTATAATTATCCTTAAATCAGAAAACGCTACCCAGATAATGTATTCGGCTTCTTTGAATATGTCATAATTGAAGCTCCTACCATGTTTTTCACTGACTATCTAAAAGAAGATTTATACAAGCTTCCAACATCTGAAGAAAACCTGAAGGAGCAAAATTAAATCAGCCTAGAAGGGTCTGGAACAAAAGGGACATGCAAAGCCTCAAGGAAGCTGCTTTTTCTGGCATTAGAAGAGGCAATATTTAACAAGGGATGTCACCAACTCAAAGTAACTTCTTCAAGTTCTCAATCTTGTCATATATCCATGGAAGGTTTATTGTCAATGAGCACGAAAGAAGGTGCTGCATCAAATAAGTACAGAGGAAGTAACAATTCTTAAGTAATTGCAAAAAAATCAAAAAGCAAGTATTACGTTTGGTGACTTGCTGGTCGTCTGGTAACATTGCATACTCGGTATTTTCTCTTCATTTGCCCGCAGTGAGTGATTTCCACCTTCAGACCTAATGATTTAGGAGCGTAAGAACTCAGTTTTGTTTCCTAGAAAATTTACTAGTACACATTCGAAAATTAATAGGGGAAATGGTTCCATTTGAAATACCTTTTTTAAAAAACCAAAGCCTGCATTTCAGGAGACTTTATTAAATAAACATTAGCTACATTTTAACAATATGATTACCTTATTTCCAAATGACTTGGGTTAATGTAAGCTGAACAAAATTTAATCACCTGGCACTTTAAGTAGGCCCCAATCCACACCACCAGGCACCAACCAGGAAATGACCACATTTGGACATTGCCTGGAGACACCACCTGGGGTACTCTCCTTTTGCTGCCTGCCAGCAGGGAAGGAGCCCAGCTGTTGTGCCTTAAGAATGTTTCAAAACAAAGCCCTCCACACATGCTTAAGCAGGAGTGAAAACTGAATATGCTTTTATACAACTGGGTCATAACATTCATACATGCAGAAGCCCACAGGAATTACAAATCTTGGGGAAAATCAAGTCCATTTAAAATATGCATCAATCAAAACCAGTTTGGTCGACAGCAAGAATGTTGATCTCCTTACAGCCCTAGTTTAAATTCCTTCCAAACTGAATGACCAATTCATTAACAATCAACCACATTCTACTGCACGATTGGAGACAATTTACTATAAGGTAGCCTTCTGAAACTCTCAATATTTGTTCCACACAGAAAATCATGTTTGTTTCTTTCAACTTTCTTACCTTTAATTTCTTTGGTAAACTTAACCCTTTGGGAATCTGTCAGAGGTTTCTGTTGTTCTTCAATACTTTTGAAATCCAAAACTTCACATACGAACTCAATTACAGGTTGTGCCTTGTAAAATGCTGTTGCAGATACTAAAAATCAAAAGGAAAAATACAGGAAATGAATGACACACAAATCTTACAGATCTAAGAAACCTGACTAAAAAGCACTTTCAGTCAACGTAAACAAATGCAAATAGTGAAGTGACACAAAGCATACCATCAATGTTAAGCATCATTTTCCACAGTGAAGGCCTGACTGACTGATGGAATCCAAACCAAACTTCTCTGCCGCCACCCAAGGGATTAGAGCACCCTTCTGATGCAGTAAAAAAGGACCGTCCCACAGGAGTGTACCTACAAGAGAAAGTGAATATATTATTCAGTGGGGGGAAATGGGAGTGAGGGGGGCAGCTGTATTATTTCAAACACATCCCTGGTCCAACTACACTAGGGTGAAACTAGGGTTTCATGTGCCGTGCCCATTGAGCCACTGAAAAATATTATTTACCAATAATATTGTTCAGTGGCCCTATGTGCACGGCATGTTAAACCACGCTTTAAAAGCTATCTATGGTTTATAGCGAATGAGCAGCAGGCTGTCACCTGCTGCTCAAAAGCTTACGCGGGGCTCCTCCCCAGTCCTGCTGCCGGCACACCACAAACCAAATAAGCATTCAATGTCATCCGAGGCTGGGTTCATGATTTGTCCCTTTAGCCCCCACCCCGTGCTGTGAACAGTAAGCCAAGAACAAACCTTAGTTCCCACTTGTGGTGCGTTGAGAAACAAGTCACAAGACCATGTTTGGGCAGCATAAAAATGCAGACACTGGCTTGTTTCATCTGAGCCACAGTAGCAGGACCACGTGGGCGAGGAGCATTGCAGAAGCTTTTAAGCAGCATGTCCTAGCACACCACTTATGCTGCTCACTCATATTAATCCAGTTTGTTTTAAACTGTTTCTAATATGATATGCAAACTACGCCAGTATCTGGCAAGGTCCATGGGATCTCATTAGAATCCCTGTAACCATCTTTGGGACATTTTTGGATTTATTTTTATGCAACAATAAAAAGCATTATGGTTGAAAGAAGAAAGGCATAGATAAATGGGAGAAAGGAAGGGTGCAGCAAAAACAGAAAAAGAGAGAAAGAAGGGTAAACAGCTGCCAGTCCTAAATCCCTGAATCTTTTGTCCTCATTTCAACATCTGCCTTCAAAAGTTCCATTTAATTCCAGTTGGTGAGCAGCTTCCAATTTGCAGGAGTTTTGCACGCACACCTGCCTCTTCCATTCACACAAATAGTAAAGTGTGCGTGCACACATACAGTGCACTAGAGCTCACATCAATATGTTGTTGATGTAGATGCAAAATTCCCAAGTGTAATTTTGTTTAGCTCCCGCACTAAAACTTCCCTAAAGACCTATATTAACATTTCCCTTACCTCATGGAAGGCAAGTGCCTCATTACTACATCCAGCGCCTGAATTGTTTCAAAAGGAACACTTGGAAGACGACCAGAGAGAGCATCGTGTAAAGCCTGCAGACTCACACCTGACATCCACTTTATTGCCACCTTAAATATTCTGTCCTTCCCTTCTCCCGGCAATGTGACCTCCAATTCCACCTGCAACATTTGGAAACCACAACAAGATGATTCTTTCTGTTTAAGCACACACTTTATCAGAACGGTCAAAGGGAAGCAAACTCTTCTGTATAGTGAACGCTCATTGACAACAACACAAAAAGACCCCACAAATAAAAATTTACTTAGACGGCTGCTCCACACATGATTCAAGTGCAGTAATACATTTAAATAACAAAATAAAAACATAGCAGCAGGGGGGGAGGGGATGATGTAAGCCAAGAAAAAATACATCACTGAAAATCCTCAGCAAATTAAAAGGTTTTCCAAGTGCCAGGGAAAGACACCAGGCTCAGTAACAGGAGAGCCTCCCTGGAGAGTTGGGGTGCCACAACTTAAAAGACTCTTTCTCAGATCTCCACCAGCCTAACTTCTGAAAGGGGTCTCAAAATATTCAGAAATAATTATCCCGGATAATTTTTTTTCCCTCCGCGTTGCATCATGTGCACCTTAAGATCACCACTGTGTTTTGGCAAAGCTGTTTTAGAAGCTACACTTGTTCTGTGATGCACCAACTGCAGGTAACAAACAAGGTAATGTGTCTCTAATGGCAGCATGGCTGGCCTTTTGTCTTCCAGCAATCAGCTCAGCCACAGTTCCTGTTATAGCTACAGCTGCACCATTAATTGTTATACAATATGAACATCCTATGAAAACCTTAATAGAATGTGATCTTTTTATATTTTCAGAGCTGCTTTTCCACAGCAAACACTTTAAAAGTAACTACTGCTGTGTAAGGCATTTATTCCAACAATGAGACATCATCATCATCATCATCATTATTTATTACCCATCTGACTGGGTTGCCCCAGCTGCTTTGCACAGCTTCCAAATCAAACAGCACAGGTGACATATGTGGTAAGGGTCTTCTTGGAAAACCCCACTGAAGCACTTCCCATTGTATGAGCAATATTGAAATCTTGGTAGGGTGAATTACTGATGAACTTACAAAAACCCTACAGATTTAATAACCTGCATCTTGACCCATGGGAAGCATGCAGCTCTGACAAAATAATGAAATCATACATGGAACATATGGAATCATAGTTAAGGTGGCATTAAATACTTACTTTATCTCTCCCTATTGGAAGTGGTATAGCTGTATAGAGGTTTTTTCTTCCATCAAACACCGGCTTGCGCTCCCCAAATATCTGTCCTTTAAAGTGCTGGACCATGTGTTCAACTATTTCTCTGGAAACATTGTTCAAAGTGTTAGAATAAGCATCCACCCATGTTTATTAGTTATAGCTTTATAAAAGGATGAAAACTGAATTCAAACATCTGCTGAAACCCATTCAAGTCCTCCACTCATAATAATCAATGTACAGATCACTTGCACCTTACTTGTGGATTATATTCCAGGGATGGTTCATAAATCCAAAATTGTGAATAGTCAATACAATCCCATGAAACCACCCACATGTGAGCAACCTCACCTTCTGGAGCTGGTACACCAATGGATCTCACCCCACCAACAAGGCACAGTACTTTTAAGCACTCTGCCTTGCTTACTTGGCTCTGGGGGGCTCCTGCAAGAAAGCTTCCCAGAACCCAGTAGGCAAGGCAGAGAGCTTAAGAGCTCTTTCTGTGCTGGCGGAACCCTGTGCAAAGGGAGCTTCTAAGTTCTCCACCTACCGTGCATTTAATTTATGTGATTTCAAAGTTGAAATCACATATGTTGAACGCATGTAAGTTGTGAGCTGACTGACTATATCTCTAGAGCATTGAGAGCAATCCATTCATTGACAGACGGGGTGGGGAGGAGAGACTGTCTTGCCTAGAAGTTCATGGCAAAGGCAAGATTGAATCACTTTTTTTCTGCTTCAAAGCTCAGTCCTGATTAAAGTTGATGTTAGGCAGGAAAGAAAAGCTTACTCATAAAGCATTCCTTGCAACCAACTCCACTTTAAACCATGCCCTTAGCCACAACACATGCAACGTTAATAGCTATCAGAGCAGAACCCATGTGTTCCATGCTGGATACCCTAAAGATGCCAGGATAGCCACAATATGAATGCAGCTAAGATTTCTTAGCTTTTTGGTGTGCTCCCAACATCACTGGGAGAGGACAGCATGCAAATGCTACTTCTACTCCTCCATAACATCTGAATCAAGATAGGCTGTGAAAAGTCTGGATTGATGTCTGAATGCAGTGGTGGACTGGAAAAGGGCCAATTAACTCTGCTTGCACTCTATGTGAGGCTGCCTTTAGGTTTGGTTTGGAAGCTCCAGCTGGTGCAGAGTGAAGCAACCAAACTGATAGGGGCATCTGGTCAAGAACACATGACACCATATTTAAAACAGCTGCATTGGCTGCCCATTCACTACTGAGCCAGGTTCAAGGTTCTTGTATTAATTTACAAAGCCCTTAACAACTTAGGTCCAGAGTAGCCCAGGGATCACCTGAACCCTTATATCCCAGTTCGACCACTGAGATCATCTGCAGGAGCATAATTGGTCATTCCCCAAGTTGGCAAGGCTCACTTGAAAACAAGAAACCGAGCCTTTAGTGTCATCAGCCCAGTCCTGTGGAATACTCTGCCAAGAAGAGATTCAGCAATTGTCTACTGTGCTGAAGTTTAAACATCTGCTTAAAAGTTTTCTAGTCCATCAGGCCTATGCAGGCAATTAAGTATACATGTCCCCATAATAGTTAATTGATGTCTGACTATATGTGGTTTTTATTGCATGGCTGTATGTATTTTTGTTGTAAACCACTTTGATATTTTAATGAAATAGCAGCATATAAATATTTTTATACATGCAAATATAATAAACAAACAAACAAATAAGCTATTGCTTCTTTTTTTACCCGCTTATTAGCCTTCAAGTACAAGAGCTCCCTGGCAACCCTATCACATTAACCTTTGCAGGAAAGTCCTTCAATTCTCTATTCAAAAGTGAAAGATGGATAGGAGATAGCTAGGCTGCTATTGAGTTTCATGCTTCCAGCTTTTTTAAAACAGAAACACATGCAATACCATTTGTGTATATGGTAACCACAGCATGCATGTTAGTGGCAAAAGCAAAGTAATCAGTTAATCCACCAAAGAACTCTCAGATAATAGAGACAGAAGATGTGGAACACTGCCTTAATGAATAAAATTATGGCCTGCAAATATCAGTTGGAAGGAATATTCCACTTTTCCACTTATTGTAGTGGTTAAGGCAGACGACAAAATTCAAATAATAATTAAAAAATCACATTTGCCTCCACTGAGAGGTAGGAAACTGAGTAGGCTAACATGAAAAAATCTGTCCTGATTTACACCAACTTTGGGTAATTAAGATATCACCATACAGAGCAGATGTTATCCTATACATAAGCCCAGTCACTATGGCTTGTAAAGACAAACTTCTAAAAGACCCAGGAACCTACACATATCTTCACCTGTCATTTTCTGTTAACAGGCAATCTGATGGAGACATGTAATCTCTTACCTGCTGTTATATATAGTTTCTCCAAAGTCCTTTTATACCATCAGACAAATGAGTTCACTTCCCCCTGCCAGTAGGTGAAGACAGGAAAACAAGCAGTTGGTAACATCACCTCTCCACTTAAGAGGCTTGATATCAAACTACAGTACCAACCAGTAAGCAAGCAGTTCAGTACTGGTTGAAGGAGATCAACTGCAGTGAAATTGGTGAGATAGGACCTGCCATATCATTTATACCCATCAAACGCTAAAAGTTTTAAATAAACACAGTACCACTGAACACAGCATAGGGAGAAAAAAATATTTTAGGATGGTATAAAAAGAGTTGGAGAAACTGATTTTGTTTTATAAGAGGAGCTCCTCTTAAGTGCAAGCAGAACAAAGGCACCAATGTTTCGGGTTTACAGTAAGTATACCACTAATACCATCCCAAAGAGAAACAGTTCAGCATCAAAGTTTAATGAATGTATCCTTTTTTAAAAAAATGAAGGAAGTGAAATGTTCAAAGCTGAAGAGAAAGTAAAGCGAGATGTACCTGTTAACTCTTCTAGGGCACTTCTCTGGCTTTATATCCAATTCATAATGGTAGATGTCAATTTTTGGAATGTCCATTTCAAAAAAGTTGGCTTGCAGTTTGATTGATCTCCCTGAAGTACCAAAATCAGGTCGAGGGGGAGGTTTAAATGCATATGCCTGTATTGGAGGAGGCATAGGCGGAGGCGTTGCAAGTACTAGAAAGGAGGGAAAAGCACAAAAAGTAATGCAAATTCCGTAAATGCAATTCTCTGTAACATATATTCCTATGTCATTCATAGCAAGGTAACAAATGGCAATAAACTAAAGCAGGAGAATAATCAAAGTTATCCAGTGAGTCTTCCTACTGTTTGTAGCAAAAATCACTCTTTCAATACAGCAATATAAATGGCTGCAGTCCAAGTATCATTTTAGCAATCCAAAGTACTTTCTCTTAAAACCAGCTTAGTAACAAGGATTTTAATGCTAGCCAAGAACACACTCTGGTGAGCAGCTGTATAGCACAGCAAAGAGAAAGAATGGTCCACAGCAACCCATCAAAACTGGGTTGCATTGCACTGGCATGTAAGTAAACAGGATTAACTTGACTGAAAAGCAGGAATTCTGGTTCTGTTTTTGAATCACATGTCTAGTTATTACTCTGCTCAGTTTTTTTCACTATATCGGTGTAATATACAATACATGCTTAACTCAACAGCTGTAAAACAATGCTACTTATCAAAACACAGATTCAGTATAGATTTATAATAACCAACCAACAAGAAGGGGAAACATTTAATAGCTTTAATATATTTTACTATAGAGCACACATATACTTTTAAATCAGGAAGTCAGGAAATATAACTGATTTTAAAGTGTGCAGGTAAAAAAAGGATCCACTGATGTCACTATAACATCAGGTGATTGACAGGTGGGTGTCTCCGCCCATTTGTCAGGCTTGGCCCACAAGAGTTGGGGGAGGGAGGAGATAATGATTTGGCCTACTAGCCTGATCCAGTTTCCCACCCTTTGTCTAATACCTACACAACACCAAAAGCAATCACAACACACAACTGTACTATTAAGTAGTTATTTATTACCATATCCTACTGTACTTCCTATACAGTGTTTATATTCTCCTGATTACAGCAGAATACTTCCCCTAGCACTTGCTGATCAGAAGGTCGGCGGTTCAAATCCCCACAACGGGGTGAGCTCCCGTTGCTTGGTCCCTGCTCCTGCCAACCTAGAAGTTCGAAAGCACATCAAAGTGCAAGTAGATAAATAGGTACCGCTCCAGCGGGAAGGTAACAGTGTTTCCGTGCGCTGCTCTGGTTCGCCAGAAGCGGCTTAGTCATGCTGGCCACATGACCCGGAAGCTGTATGCCAGCTCCCTCGGCCAACAAAGCGAGATGAGCGCCGCAACCTCAGAGTCGGTCACAACTGGACCTAATGGTCAGGGATCCCTTTACCTTTACTGTACTTCCTATACAGTGTTTATATTCTCCTGAGTACAGCAGAATACTTCCCTTTCTAGAATAAATAATAGTGGGGTTTTCCTTGAAATAAGTAACTACTAGTTTTTTCCATCTCCACTATTTTCTAAATCTCACTATGCTTCTGCTATGAGTGATCGAAGCCACAATCATTTGTGATCTCCCCTGGGGCACCCGGCCACCAGTTCGGTCTGCCAGATCCCTAGCAACCCATCCCACTCCTCATATGGGGACCAATAGTTCTCATGTCATGGGGACATGCATAGCCTTGGTAACAGGGAAGAGAACTGGCACTGTGCTTTATCTATTTGTCAATCTCAAGCTTTTCTCAAGGAGAGCAAATGGAAAATGTTTTTCAAGACAAAACTAAGGAGCATTTGCCCATCACTACATAAAAGTGCTTTACTTTATTTCTTTTTTGAATCACGTCCCATGAAACACCCTAAAGCGATTAACAACAAAAATGTAGATTTAAAAAACAACAAAAAAGCTGGATTGTTCCATTAGAATCTTACAACAATATTAGAGAAAATGTTGTCTAGATGCACAAAAGTTTTTGAATGTCATGAGAAAACTCTTGATTTATGCCTGGTACAATCAGTAATTAAGTCTGTAACTGTAACAATTGTTTTGCAAATGAAGGCTGAGTCTTTCAAATAACAATACCAACTTCAACACCTCTGCTCACACAGAGAAAGGACTTCAAGTGTATATGATACTACTGATTTCTCTCTCACACACACAAACACTTTTACCGTACATCCGCAGCCCCCTCTCAAATACATAGCCACTACTTCCTTTTTTGATAATGTGAAAGTATTTTAGTAGGAAGGAGAACCGCCAAACAAGTCAAATGGAAGTGTGGTCATTTTGGTTCCAGTTCACTGGAGAAGCCCCAAGATGAATGTATTATGATCAATTATGCTGGCAATATTGTTTAATAATATATATATTATTCCCATTTTAAATTACCAGTGGATGGTGCTTTTAGTGCTGTTTAGAGAAATAATTGCTCCCTCTCTTGCTCTTGAAACTAGCAATGTAGTCTGATAGCTTTAATACACAAAGATCCTCATTCATTTGGATCCTAAATGTGTCAAATGACTAAAATTGCTGTTTTTATTATTAATTTGCTCTTTCGGTCGGAAAAAATAGCACAATATACTTTTACATACAATTTAAATAATTCATAATCTTCAGCTGCCATAACTTTATTTCTGTTCACTTCATTCTGCTACTGTAGTTCCATCTGCACTTACATTTTACATTAATTGGTCATTATTTCAGTCATCCTAGCTTCAGCAACAGTACTGTGAAATTAAAGTTTTTATGAAGATAAAAAGCTTTGACAAAACAAAGCATATTAAATTTATCTCCAAGTTTATGAAAACTTCAGTTGCTGGAAATATGGGCTGCTGCAGTGTTCATATAAAAGTTCCTAGTGTTATACACCACAAATAAGCTGGAGTCACTGTAAAGAAAGGTAACTTTTAGTTTTCAAAGTTTTTCTGCAGAGTATCGTATAGAGTCAGCTCTCTAACATTCTTCTGTTTCAAGCTGATAGACAAAGGTGGAGAAATAACGTGAAATGTTCAGTCCAAGATAAGAAGCACTTCCAATATACTGGCATCCTTAAAGCTGAGTAAAAATGGCTTTGGTAGACCTTGGTGTTCCAAAAATATTATTAAAATCTGTTGTGCTGTACTTTTAAGAAATGACCACTGAAAGTGATATTTAACACGTATGCTTAGATGGCACTGCCAAAGTTCTGAAATGGACTGAAACATTACCATCTAAGTCTCCAAAACCATTTGAACAAAGAGCTATTTGATTTGGGGGGTGGGGGGGGTCGATACAAAGCAATCCTACACTTACACTGCCACCATGACACCAGCAGAATGGTCATTATAGAGTCAATATGCCACACAAATGCTTTTGAATTATGGTGCTGGAGGAGACTCTTGAGAGTCTCATGGACTGCAAGAAGATCAAACCTATCCATTCTTAAGGAAATCAGCCCTGAGTGCTCACTGGAAGGACAGATCCTGAAGCTGAGGCTCCAATACTGGCCACCTCATGAGAAGAGAAGACTCCCTGGAAAAGACCCTGATGTTGGGAAAGATGGAGGGCACAAGGAGAAGGGGGCGACAGAGGATGAGATGGTTGGACAGTGTTCTCAAAGCTACCAGCATGAGTTTGACCAAACTGTGGGAGGCAGTGGAAGACAGGAGTGCCTGGCGTGCTCTGGTCCATGGGGTCACGAAGAATCAGACACGACTAAACAACAACAACATGCCACACAAAGATATTCTCAAGGCATCCCTGGAAACTCTGCCAGTGCCCACCCATCAGGGACAGTGCCCATAAAAATGCTCATAGGCCACAGAGGAAGCTGATGAACTTAGAGCAAAGGAAACAGACCTCCAGCACTGTCTCACCACACTTACAACATTCATGTTGATGTGGCAACATCCCCCTACTTTATCAGCCCCAGTGGCACAGCCAGCAATGACCCTGTTATTGCCAGCTCCCACGCACCCCCTTGGCAGTTCAAATCTCTTCATGCTGCTCACAATCACTGTTTTATGTACACAACGAAGGAGAGGAAAGAGAGCCCAGACAACACAGCACGCAAAAGATACCTGCCATCTTTCCTGACTGTGCCACTAGGGCCAACAGAAGAGAAGAGTTTGGATTTGATATCCCGCTTTATCACTACCCGAAGGAGTCTCAAAGCGGCTAACATTCTCCTTTCCCTTCCTCCCAACAACAAACACTCTGTGAGGTGAGTGGGGCTGAGAGACTTCAAAGAAGTGTGACTAGCCCAAGGTCACCCAGCAGCTGCATGTGGAGGAGCAGGGAAGCGAACCCGGTTCACCAGATTACGAGTCTACTGCTCTTGACCGCTATGCCACACTGGCTCTCAGTGTGAATGGAGGGGGTGTTGTGGCAACCTCTAGCAATATATGTGCAGCTGAGGCAAATCTGTGTGAAAGAGGCATATCCCTGCTATCATGAGTTCATCAGAACCCTCTACAGGTAGCCCCAACTAGCCCAGTTCCACTATGCGCTGCAACAGTGTTTCTGAAGGCTACCCTAGTGCATTTGGGGATCTTCCTCCCCCCAAAAAGCTCAACAACTTTGGTCAACCCAACGGGTAGATCACTGCCATGTTTTGTTTGTTTCTTTCGTGGGAGTAGATCGCAGTCTCTTGGGAGTTGGACATGCTTGTTCTACAGAACTCTGAAGGGCTGCTTGCAGTCTGTATACAATACTGAGGTACATGACCTGCCATACGACTTTCTATAATGCAGCTGGCTTGTTTTAAGGCAGTACAAACCACAGAAAAATTAAATATATTCCTTCTGCTCGAAGAAAACTTGCATATTACGGAGTCAGACATGCTAAAGCTTTCCATATAAGAATTTATTTATACACAGACAACTACACGTCAGTGAGAAGAGTTCTAGCCTAGGCTTCTCCCTAATCTGCTAGTTTTCCATGGCCTTCTCTATACACATCCCTGCAGCCTGAAGCAATACAGTGTGGCAACAATTTTATTGCCTCCTCTGTTGTATGTGTGAACTAGGCCTAAAATGTCTTAAATTATTCAAGTTTTGTTTTAGCTTCACAGAGAGAAGACGCCAAATAAATCTAAGTGGATCGATCAACAGGAAAATGCTGCAGTCAGATGTCATATTATGTCAACAAGAGCATTCATTGCAACAGCCATTTTTGTTTCTATAAACCAGGGGTGAAAAACCTGTGGCCCGTGGCTCTCCAGATGTTTCTGACCACTGGTCACGCTGGCTGGGGCTAATTGGGGCTGAGAGCTCAATAACATCTGAAAGCCACATGTTCATCCCCTCTGCTATAAATAAACAATTATGATTATCAGACACATGTGTTCAAACTAGCATTTGCCATCCAGAAAAGAATATGGATTGGATTCAAACTAAGTTTAGTTAAACTTCAGTCTTAATGAAATCAGTGGGACAAATTAGCCATGACATAACTGAAGTCAGTTGAATTCAATAGAGAGTAAGTGGTTGGATCTAGAATTGGTTCCAAACAACATAAATACATCAAAAATTTAAATATCTATCTTAACTACAGGGAATAGCTTGCTTTTTAGAAAAATACTGAGGCTGGCAATTAGTTTTCCCACCCTTTGCAAGATTTTAAGAGAGAAATAGATGGTGTTTTAGTAATCACTTTGTCTTTGTTAGACGGAGTAGCGCAAAAACAAGCTGTTGGGATCAGCCTCCATTAATTAGTCAAAAAGTGGAAACATCCAAAGCCTGGGAGAAGCTTGTACACATCTCCCCACATGCAACAGGAGCCAGAAGTGACATGTGACATCAAAAGCAGCCCAGGTGAGCAAATCCCACCCTGTGTAGGACTCCAACATCTGGCTGCTTTCATTTCATCCAAGACCTGCCACGGCCCAGAGACTGGAACAGCAGAGTGGCAGCTGGAACAGCTGAGGACGGGACAGTGGATTGTATACACCTTTTCCTACCCCTTTACTGTGCCTCTTGCATCTGCTGCCAGAAGCTGCAAGAGAAATCAACAGCTGCCTGAGTAAGGAAGGCCAACACAGTGAGGAACTAACCTGATGACTGAGCTACTGTATATTAAATGCATTGAAAGCTACCTTCACAACTTTGGTTAAAGAGTGGGGTATAAATATATCTATGCACATGGAAATGTATCTATCTATCTAAGTTACAACTTTGTATATTATACAGCTTTTTATGTTATACAAAGTAATACTGAAAACCCAATTAATCCAGAGCTTTAACCTCATCCACCTTTATCAATCTGCTGGTAAGGGCCAACACACCATTTAAAACCTGACCTTCAAATAGTATAGTATAGATGTCTTAATGTATTCTTTTCTTTTCCGGTTTTAATGTATGTATGTTTTCGCTTTTTCTTTTTGTAATTTCCTTTGGGTTGTCTGTGGCAAAAAAGCAACTAATAAATTGAAGAAGAAGAATCTCATTTTTTAAAAAAGTGTCATTTTTATTATAATTGTTGACATTTAAGTGGCATATAAATAAATTGCTTTCATTTTTTGTGGTCATTAAATAATTTTTATATTTGCAGTACAAGCAGAGCTTGTGTGGGGGTTATATGTTTGTGGTGGCTCCCCGTGGAATGCTCTCCCCAGGGAGGCTTGCCTGGCACCTTCATTACATATCTTTAGGTGCCATGCTAAAACATTCCTCTTCTCCCAGGTGTTTGCCAAATTAAACAATCTATGGCCTTAAACCCTCTCTCTGTGTGTGTGAGAGAGAGTGTGTGTAAGGGTTACTGTTTTTGTTTGTTACTATGGTGTGTATTTTTGTGTTGTTATATTGTAAACCACCCCGTGATCCGTGGAAGAAAGGTGGTATGGCAGTTTATTTAAGAATAAGAATAATTTCCACTCAACTAAGCTAGGGGTAGGGAACCCCTGTGGACCAGATCTGACCCACAGCCTAACCTGATCCAGCTCGCTGCCTCAGGAGGGTACCTGTGAGTGGTCCTTTGCTTTCATGCAGGGCAGTGTGGTGGCTACATGTTCCCTTGGCTGGCACTAGCTGGAGGGAGGGAGGAACAGAAGGGAACAAGGAAGATGTTCTTTGTTCTTGTTTTTTTAGCAGGGCAGCTGGCTCCTCTTCTTGGGCGACACTTGCTTAAGGGAGGAAAGGAAAATCAAAGGGACAAGCAAGTGCCATAGGAGCAAAGCAGAAAACTTCCTTCACTTTAAGGCACCCAAGGGAAACTGAGGTGAAGAGTAACTTTTTGCCACACTTTAGGAGACACTGGAGTCTGACTCTCAACTCATGCAACTAACACGGGGTCAGCAAACTTTTTCAGCAGGGAGTCGGTCCAGTGTCCCTCAGACCTTGTGGGGGGCCGGACTATATTTTGGGGAGGAAATGAACAAATTCCTATGCCCCACAAATAATCCAGAGATGCATTTTAAATAAAAGCACACATTCTACTCATGTAATAAAAATACACTGATTCCCGGACAGTCCTCAGGCCAGATTTAGAAGGCGATTGAGCCGAATTCGGGCCCCGGGCCTTAGTTTGCCTACCCATGAACTAACACTACACATTAATGCATTGAGGGAATGGAAGGAAAGAGAAGGGGGGGAGGCTATCCATCCATATGTGGCTCTGCTTCCATCCACTGGGGTATGGAGCTGTCATACAGTGGTACAGCACATAGTTTGTTTGCAAAAGGTCCCAAGCTCAATGCATAGCATCTCCGTGTAGGAGTCCTGTCTGAAATCTTGGAGAGCCGCTGCCAGTCAATTTTGACAGCGTTGAGCTAGGACCATCACTGATCCAACATGGTGTAAGGTAAAGTATAAGGCAGCACCCTATGTTACATTGTCAGTACCAGCCCTGCCCAATATTGGCTTCAACTCCTTCCCCTCACTGAATCTTCCCACTGCTCAAGGACTCTTCTAAGTAATAATAATAAAAAAGTTACCCATCCCTGACCTAAGACACTGGCCTAAGTAATTATTTGAACCAAGACTATGTACTGATGGAGAATATTTAGGAAAAAATGGTAGATTTCTTTCTTGTGATTTGGGTGTACTGCATTGTTTTAACGTGGCACAAAAATCTATTAGTTCTCTCCAACTATAATTCAGGCAACACACAGAAATAAAAAAGTGCACTTTTAAAACAGAATCAAACTCTCAGCATGTAAACTACTGAAAACCATTTCTTAGATTTCTTTTAAATCTTTACAGAAGAAAAAATGTGACACACCATTTCAAGCATCTACAGCACGTGCATATATTAAGCTTATTTCCAAATTAAACCTTTACACAAAACCAAGAACACACAAGTAAACATGCTTTACTGGATTTCAATCAAGCCACCACTTCAAAACACACATTTCTCTCTCACACACCATTTAATGGGTTGTTAACTGCTGTGCTGCAACAAAAGACATTGTGTAAAAAATTAATGCAGATGATACTTTATGGTAAGCAACTTCCACAAAGTTCGGCTTCAGTTCTGGAGAACTCAAAGCCTTATGCTCAAAGGCAATTGATTCAATAAAAAGGTACTATGTAAAATATTTCAGATCTTGCCAGCTACAAGTTAGGATTTAAGTCCTGAAAACATAAAACAAGCATATTGGGTAGAATGTAAAGTCATGTAGTTGTTGAATTCCTCAACTAGGAATTATATTTGGGCTTTCACTGTAACTTGCTGGGACACTTCCCCTTAAGAGGATAAGGGCAGTACTTCTGGATAATATCAAGAATTCTTCAAAGTCTGCATCCTGTTTCAGACAGTGGTCAAGCAAATGCTTCTGAGAAGCACATAGCAAAGGGATGAAAGCAATAGCCCTCCTGTGCTGTTGCCCCACAGCAGCTAACATTCAGCAGCCTCTGAACCCAGAAGGGCTAGATGCCTGCCAATCCAAAAATAACTAATAGTGTTATGTCTCAATAAAGATGCACAAAATGAAGAATTAGTTTACCACTCACTAAACACAATTATGCTGGGCCCATTGCATGTATGCTACTGGGAAGCACCTGTGCCATGAAGAACGAATAAGAAGGGAAAATACTTTCAGGCAGTACAATCAATCTTGCTTAGTATCAGGATAACTTGGGCAGGCTGATTCTGAAAATCACCTATGCATTACACTTCACTTACTGTTAAACATTATTACTGTTAAACATTAATTCAGTGACAACAGCATGCAAACTACTATATAGCTGATGAGAAGAAACACAATTCCTTTTGAGAAGCCTTGAAATCTACATTAGGCAGACAAGACAGTATTCATTTATTTAATGTATTTATATCCCACCTTTCTCCCAATCAGGGGTGAGGAAGAGATACAGGACTGGTGTGATATGGAAGTGGCAACTGAGATATTGGTAAGATCCCACTGTATGTATCTGAACACTATGAAAGACAGCAGGGAGGGCAAAGTCACTACTGTTGTGTGTTTACACTTTACAACTCTATGGGCAATGTCAGATGACTCCCAGGCATTAAAAATAAATTAACATTTTACACCTTTAGTACAATCAGTGGTAGAAACTGAGCTATGAAAGCTAGGAGCTAAATGGCACCTTAAACTTAGGTTATGGGTGCAACAACGGAATGTTTAGGTGCGCTTTTTAAATAAAAAGAACCCAAAGTTGAAAATGAATAAACTGCAACTAAAATATTATGTTCATTTTTCACACGATCTAGTCCTTTTCCTGTCCACACCCTAATATTCTTAAGAGGGTATCTTCTCCAATCTACAAAGAGTAGCTGGAAGTGGGGAGGCAGAAAAAGGTCCTCCTTTCCTCCCACCCTGCAGTTTTAATCTGAAATCTTAGGTGTAGTACTGAGCCCTGAGCTCAGAAACTGCTCGTGCTAATGAAATTCCCTGTCGCAAAATGTACCTAGAGCAATGGGTGTTTTGAACACTGGGTACAATACACCCTACCCCCCCAACACACACACACACACACACACACACACACACACGATGGAGTATCTTTACTAAGAACAGGCAGGGAGCTGGATGTTTTTAAATCAGCAATGCTGGAGGAGTGGGGTATGCAGCTAAGAACCGCTGCCAGAAAAGAAAAGTTGCTTTGCTCATGTTTGCCACCTATTTTTAAAGGGCAAGATAAGTGTTTAACTTTGCATGATGGACTGGTAGGTGCTGCAGAAACATGCTCAACCTCTACAGAATGTTCTAAGAAGCAACGCAAACTTCTACAATTTTCACAAAACAGCACACACTTTTCAGGAGGGGATACACTCCTCATTAGAAAGAGTGCCAACAGCATCCAAGGAGCGTCCACAGAATTAAAGACTTGGCACAGTTAGAGCGCACCCTGGACTAATAGCTATGTTTTCCTAGCAACAAGCATCAGGTTTGAGAGCAGAGGAAAATGCAACTTCCTCACAACAGAAGCAGTTATTAGATGGGAAATATCTGATCTGATGCAATAACTATACAACTTACTGTACTTTTAACATGCTACCTGTCTGGAAGCCCCAGGTAACATGCCTTAAGTGAGATGCCCAGGAACATCTCAAATACAGTGGTACCTCGGTTAAAGAACAGCCCTGTTTACGAACTATTCAGTTTAAGAACTCTGAAAAACGGAAGTAGTGTCTCAGTTTGCGAACTTTACCTTGGTCTAAGAACGGAAGCTGAACAGTGGAAGGGTACTGGCAGCGGGAGGCCTCATTAGGGAAAGTGCCCCTCGATTTAAGAATGGTTTTGGTTTAAGAACGGACTTCCAGAACGGTTTAAGTTCATAAATCAAGATACCACTGTATGCTGATTCAACAAGGAGAGTAAAAAGTGATTTTAGACTGGATAAACTCTGTGAAACCCTAGCTAGTAATATGTTTAAAGGGCTGCCAGAGATGTTAAACTGTTTAAATTGCTAATTTTTTACTATATGGGGTATATAAATACAAGAAAAGAATGGAATAGCAACTGAGCTCAGTACACTTCATTGATCCAACACTTCATGGGAGGTCAACCTGTAGCAAAGGGAGCTAGTTTGTTGCAAACATAGCCAGGAGAAGCACATCTTCACAGTGGCGTAGCGTGGGGGGTGCAGGGGGTGCCGGCCGCACCGGCCGCAATATCTGGAGGGGGCGTGCTCGCACTCGCAGCTCTCTGCCCCCTGCTAAAATCCACGGGTTAGGGGGCGCAAATTACTTGCCTTGCCCCGGGTGCTGACAACCCACGCTACGCCACTGCATCTTCAGACTCCCAAGCAGTTTGTCTTTATGCTTGCTTTTTGTTCAGTACAAAAGGCATGGATGCAACATGCGCGCTGTTGTGGCACTATTTTTTGGCCAGACTTGTGGCACACTTGCCAGACAAGTTTACCAGCACTTCCATACATTCTTATTTTGGGCGGTTGTTTCAACAAGATAAATATTTGGTACAGAAGGAATAAACAAAATCCCTAATTTCACCTGTTCAGCTTTGATACTGTATTGCCTGTGCACAACAGAATGTAACTTGCACAACACACGCAAATTATATAGTATAGTAATGACAGTGCCCATCAGTACACAGAGATATTTCTAGTTCGGTCCAGCAGTGAAAATGTTCTCAATCTGAGGGTTGCACTTCATATTATGAGAAGGGGCACAAAAATTGTCAGGTCACTCTGACAACCAGAAATGGACCCCTAACATAAGGGGTCCCCCCTATTCTGGCAGGTTCTGGATCCAGAAGAGATACTACATGGACATAATGTGAATGGGGTGGTGGTGGCAGTTACCCCATATCAGTAAACTTGGAAGTGTGAGTAAACTTGTAACCATACCTTCGCACTGAAACAGAAGTGCAACATTTGGTGTGCAGCTGCCAGCAAGATGCTATGAAGACATATGAGAAATGGGGTGTGCATATGTGTCTGTGTGCGATATATTATTGTGCTTATATCCCATCCTTCCTCCAAGAAGCTCAGGGCAGCATACATAACATCCCACTCCTCACAACTGTAAGAACCTGTGTTGTGTAGTGGTTAGTGTGGGACCAGGATTCAAATCCCCATGCAGCTATAAGACTCACCAAGTGATCTTGGCCCAGTAACTATTGTCTTAACCTAACCTACCATACAAAACAGCTGTAAAGGTAACGTGGCACTGAAGAACCACGTACATCACCTTGGGTGCCTGAAGGAAAGGCAGGATATAAATATAATGCATAAATATCGGTAAGCAAGGATGAATGGCCCAAGGTTGGTCAGCTTCATGCCTGAGTGGGGATTTGAACCTGTGTCTCCCTAATCCAGCACATCACACTAACCCAAATGCATATATGCATTTGCGCACACACACACGTGTAACAGTATGTGTATGCACATACACAAAAACATAATTTATAATATATATAGTGATATATAGACACACACACACACACATATTCCCACAAGTATCTTGATGGTCACTGTGAGAACAGGATGCTGGACTAGATGAGCCACCAGCCTGATCCAGCAGGGCTCTTCTTATGCTTTGTATATATGTGTGCATAAATAGAATCATAGAATTGTAGAGTTGCAAGGGATCCCAGGGTCATCTAGTCCAACCCCCTGCAATGCAGGAATAAATGGTGGGCATTATATATGTGGTGTTGCATACACATACAAATATAAAGGCGAGTCCACAGTGGTTCTGTTTTAGCACCAGCGAGCCTCTTGGATGGCAGCTAATGGAGCATAACAGTAGTAGTGGACTGAACTCTTTTCACATCCAGCCCAGGCAAAGATACTCCTGCCACCATCTCCCCTACCCAGACCCTGCCTGCCCCCATCACCCACCCCATCTTTTTGCCAATGCCCATTGTTCGGCTTCACTCTCTTAAAACTGCAAACCGGCCGGGGGGTCCCCCCTTACAACAGAGAAAGGCAACCACAACACGGTGAGGGCAGCCACTGCCAAAACACAAAGGAGGCAGCCATACAAAACACACACAGGCGCCCCCTTAATTTATTTATTTTTCCACTTCCCTCTCTCCCCCCGCGCAGCCGGGGGCCCTGATGCTTCGCGACCACCCAGCACGCCCCCCACGCCAGGGGGTCTCTCAGGCGGCGCTGTCGCGAAGCTGCCCATCCCTCCCTCGCAACCGGTCTATGGGGGGGGGGCTGTTGTGAGTGTGCTTTTCACTTTAAAAAATCAATTGCGGGGAAAAGGAGGACTGTAAGTCCGTGTGCAAGTGGTTTTTATTACTTTTATATTTTTTTAAAGGAGCCTCGGAAAGCGCAGCGCCACCTTCGCCCCCTCCCCCCCACCGACTCCACAGCTGAGGTAAAAAAAGCGGGCAAGAGGAGCCTTTAAAAAAACCTCTTCTCCCTCGACCCGCAACCGACACCCTCCCGCTGCTGCTGCTGCCGCCCTCCTCCTCCTCTTTCCGGGTCTCGCCCAGGCAGCTGGCGGAGGAGGAGAGCCGGCAGCGAGGGAGGGAGGCCGGGCGGCTGAGGCGAGACCGCCGCCGGCGGCGGCCGCTCTGAGGGAAACGTACCGAGCGCCCCCTCACAGAGCCCGGCCGCGCGAGAGGGAGCGCGCGCACCTCCCTCCCTCTCCCCCCCTCCCTCCCGAGAGACCGTTGGCGGCGCCTCGTGCGCCTCCTTCGCTGCTACTCCTGCGCCTCCTTCCTCTCTCTTTCTCCTCACAAACCCGGTTCCCGCCTCAGCGCTGCCCACCCATTTAATGTTTTTTTGGGGGGGGGGGAGAAGAGAGGGAAGCGCCGCCTTTCTCTCCGTTCCCTCGTGGAACTGGCGGGGTTTGGGGGATAGAAGCGGCAGCTCACTCACCGGGTCCCGCGGCGACGGGGGCCGCTCCCCCCGCCGTGTACATGGCGGCGGCCCTCGGGCGGGCGGCGTGGCGCCCTTTTCTTCTTCTTCTATGAGGAGAGCGGCGGCGGGCGGGGAGGGGGGAGGCGAGGCGGCAGGGAAAATAATAATAATGGTGACGATGATAATGAAATAAAAATAAAGCCCGCCTTCTCCTCTTCTTCTTCTTCCTCTTCCTCCTCCCTCGTCGGCTGGAGCTCCGTTGCCGAGGCCCCCCCGCCAAACTCCGGCGCCAGGCACGGCGATGATGGCTTTGCTGAGGGCGGAGGGAGCCGAGCTGAGGCGAGGCGGGCAGGGCCCGAGAGGAGGAGCCGGCGGAGGAGGCCGCGGCGGAGGGCGGAGCCGGCGGAGGCCGCGGACGAGGGGAGGAGAAGGAGGCCGCGGCGGCGGCGAAGCCAGACGCTCCGCCCCGTCAGGCGCCGGCCCTCCTCCGCTCCCGGCTTTCGTTTCCTCCCCTCACGCAGCGGCGGTGGCGGCCCCGTTGCCTCAGATGCCCTCGTCGCACCGTGTGCCTCGCCGCCTCACGTAGCACTTTTAAACTTAAAAAAAACCACACACAAGCCAAAATCTTTTTTCCCCCAAGAAGACCAGGCGCTGGAATGTTTTTGAAGCGAGAAACAAGAAGAGAGCATGAGGGGAAGGGGGGTTTTTTTGCGTGTGCGCGCGTACTTTTTAAAATCGCCTCACACTTTCGGGTTCGACAAAGATGGTCAAAAGCCCCACAGAGACTCCAGCTCAGTGGTTCTCAAACTTTTTTTTTCCTCCCTCTGGGCTACGCTTTCGGAATAAAAATGTGCTCGCGCCACGGCGATTTTTTTCGTTGACAAGAAAGTAAAACGGAAAGGAGCGACACACAGCAGTGCTTGAATTAGGACATAAAACACTGCTTTGTAATACGGCCACAAGACATCCAGAAAATATAAAGCGATGTGGCTACTTAAGAGCATTCCCAAAATATAATATTGATTGTCCTTGAACTTTCCCGCCACACCACGGTGTTGCACAGCACCCTTTGATAACCAACTGGACCAGGAGTCTCTTTCTTGAGAGTGGGGAGAGACCCTAAATGGCAGCAGTTCAGCAATGAAACGTCCAAAAAGCCACTATAGTAACCTAGTTTTCAGACATGACATAAGCTCTTCTTGCTGGGAGTTAAAGAAACGAATATGTTGAAGAGAAAAAAAGTTGTTGCTGGTGATAAATATCAAATGATGGTGAGATTTGAAGGCAGATACTACAATCCAGTCCAACTATGCCCATTTACAAAATACTATTTTTGGCACCTGTTTCTGAGTCTTTTCAGTGGTATTGTCCCATCTATGAAAGAATGCCTCCACCCAAAGAAGATCATCTCATACCTATGTTACTGTCTCTTTCCACCAAGTGAACTCTTTGTAATGTTGGGTTATCCCTAACAATTGGTTTTTGTGTTCTGGGGCGATTCTGACCTCCCTGCTGGAATAGAGTGGGACTGTTACTTCTCTTGATCTGAACATTATACTTCTGTTGATGCATTAGCTTTTTTGCGGCTGCATCACACCGTTGACTCATGTTAAGCTTGTGGTCCACCAAGACCCCTGGATTCTTTAAGTCAGGTTTAGCCCATCTTATATTTGTGCATTTATTTATTCCTGCCTAAGTGCAGGACCTTACATTTATCCCTATTGAAATTAATTTTGTTAACTTGGGCCCAGTTCTCCAATCTGTTGAAGTCATTTTGTATTCTGATTCTGTCTTCTGTGGCATTAGGTACATCTCCCAGTTTGGTGTCATCTGCAAATTTGATAAACATTCCCTCCATTCCTTCAAGTCATTTACAAAGATGTTGAACAACCCAGGACAGAACCCTGCAGCACCCCCACTTGTCAATTTTTTCCCAGGATCATAAGGAACCGATAATGAATATTCATTAGGTTTAGTCAGTTAACCAGTTACAAATCCACCTAACAGTATACCTCGTTCATCCACCCACATTTTATCATCCTCGGAATTTCTAGAAATTATGCCTAAATAAATGCAAGATATCTCTAGTGCCCATACACAGGCACACACACAGGGAAGCCAATGTGAGCTATTTTTAACAGACCCTAGGACAATTATGTTTTCTGCCTTATTCGCAGTACAGTATAACGAACATAGGAAGCTACCTTGTACTGAATCAGACCATTAGTCTGTCGATCTCAGTATTGCCTCTTCTGTCAGCTGCTCTACTTGAAGATGCTGGTGGAGATTGAACCCAGGACCTTTTACATGCCACTTCTGAAGCTGGGGCAACAAGGTTGTGGCATAATGAGGCTGTCACTTTACCTATTAGCCTCAAAGTGTTACTAAGGTCTAGAAGGCAGCAAGTTGCTGTGACCTTTCAGCAACATTAAACTGCAAAGGTGCAAAGTTGGCAACCCAGTCACAGCCCCCTAGTCTTGCTGGCTAGAGCTTCGATTGCTGGCTTGGCAAGCACAGCAACTGCATTGAACCCAGGCCAGAAACCGCTATAGGTGTGGGAGCAGTTTCAAAGCCATAGCTGACCCACCAAGCCATGCTGCTGGGACCCAGTTCCTTGATTGGAAGAGAGGGAGGCCAAGAGAACTTTGAAAGCAGGTGGAATGACTGAGGACACGTCAACCCAGCTGCCACCACTCCATCCTCCAGCCATGTCAGACATACAGTGGTACCTCAGGTTAACATACGCTTCAGATTACATACGCTTCAGGTTACAGACTCCGCTAACCCAGAAATAGTACCTCAGGTTAAGAACTTTGCTTCAGGATGAAAACAGAAATTGTGCTACGGCGGCAGCGAGACGTCCCATTAGCTAAAGTGGTGCTTCAGGTTAAGAACAGTTTCAGGTTAAGAACGGACCTCCGGAACGAAATAAGTACTTAACCTGAGGTACCACTGTATCCTGCTAAAGAGGCATGGCTTGTGTGTTTCGTCTTAGGCCCTGTCTTTACTACACATTGAAAGCACGATGATACCACTTTAAACTGTCCTGGCTTCCCTCCAGTGAATCCTGGGAATTATAGTTTGTTATGGGTGATGAGGGTTATTGGGGGGACGACCCCTGTTACCCTCAGAGAGGTATACTCGACCCTAGGAACTGGGGAAACTTAGGAAACTTAAAGTCCTAGCAGGACAAAGCAGGAAATTCCCATCGAGAACATATTGGGGTGTGATGTGGGGTGACCACATACCCAAATTATTCCCCTCCTTCCAATTAGCACTTTTTCATCGAAAAATCAGATTTTTGTCCTCCCCCGCTCCTTGTCCTATTTCCCTTTCCCATAGCCCAATCCTGAGCAGAGAACGATCTCTGAGCATTGGCGCGTGTTGCTAAGGTAGCCCTCTCAGCAGTGGCGCCAAAGGGCCAGTCAACTTTGCCTGCATTTCTGCCAGGCAGGAAGAAAAGAAAGAGACAAAGGCTTGGGCGACGCAGCGTTGATCGGGAGGCAGCGGTGTGTCTGTGGCGGGAGGGGGGTGGAGTTTGGCCGCTCCTGGTTACTTCAATGAGCCCAGGACTGTGAATGGGGCCCCTCTAAGAGTTTAAAAAACAGCTGCCCGCCTCCTTCCTCCTCCGCTATTGGCTGACTCCCACGCCGCCTAGCAACGGAGCAACAACCGAGGCTTAAAAGCGTTCCCATCCTTATGCGACATGCGCACAAGGCGTTTGAGAGGTAGCTGCGGGGTGCGGAGCGGCTCGCGGAACAGCCTCTCTCCTTCGACTTCCGGTGGCCATCTTTGTTGGTGGAAGCGGCTCCGCTTGCGTGGGTGGCTCAAAGGAGGCACTGCGCAGGCGCTGAACAGGAACATACATTGGTTGGCTTTGATGTTTCGATACTGTACTTCCAAGCAAGAAGGGAGGCGGCGGGTAACGTAGTTCGGGGACTCCCCCCATCCCCTCCGTGACGTAATCAGCGAAGCGTCAGAGTAATTGAGGGACTCTCCTAAATGAAGTGATAACAAGGCTTTCAAGGATGGGGGCATCTTATTATTATTATTATTATTATTATTTTTCAAATTTGCCTACCGCCCTTCATCTGATTATCTCAGGGTGGTTCACAGCATAAAAATACAGAATAAAATAGTACATAATTAAAAGCATACTACACATTTATCCCCCAAGAATCCTGGTTCACACAGAGCTACAATTCTCAGTAACTTTTTAGAAATGACGGTTCTCATAATTTTTCCTGGCAAGGGCCGCAGACTCGCCTTCCCTCGTATAATTGTTCTCTGGCGCCTACATTTGCCCCAGGATTTAAATATGGCTTCCAGTGTTGTAACCAGAATCTCTCTCCTCAGAAGGTGGGATGGGTTACTCTTTTTTTTTTTTTGAAGTCTATACACATTACCCATGGAGCCTCTTGGCCCCAGACGGCGTCGACGCAAGAAAGTAACAACCGCCTCTCTGATTGGCTTTGGCCTCTTCGACTCCTCGCGGCCGCCGCCAACCGAGGAGTATCCGTCGCTACGATTGGTCTTCGTGCTCTCGCGCGACTCTGACCTTCCTCTCCAACCGCCGACTAAAGCCCGCCCCGCCGCAACGCGACTGGTTCTTCGTCCGCCACGCTCTCCGCTATTGGCCAGAGCGCCCCGCCGCGAGCGTGCCGGGATTGGCTGGGGCAGCCTTTATAAGCTCGGTCGGCGGCGAGGGGCCTTCCCTTTCTCCAAGCTCCCTCAGCGAGCCGCGCAAGGTGCTGTGTCCTTCAGTAGAAGCTAAGGCCGATTTCCCAGCCGGCGACTAGCACCGCGCACCGACCCCCGACTGCCCGCCATGGCCTCCGTCTCCGAGCTCGCCTGCATCTACTCCGCCCTCATCCTGCACGACGACGAAGTCACCGTCACGGTGAGGGAAAGGGGGAGGCCGCGCGCGGAGGGGCTCAGGGCGCATGCGCCGGAACATCGCGGCACGTGGAGGGAAAACGGCCACTCGGGGAGAGGAGCTAAAGGGGCAGAAGGAAGAGCAGGCCTGGCCCAGCCACGCTGGTTCAAGTGTCCATTCTGGCCACGTGCTTGACTTAAGCTCATTCCCTGGTCCTGAATGGGGTAACTGTGCCCCTGAAGGACCAGGTGCGCAGCCTGGGAGTCATTTTGGACTCACTGCTGTCCATGGAGGCACAGGTTAATTCTGTATCCAGGGCAGCTGTCTACCAGCCCCATCTGGTACACAGGCTGAGACCCTACCTGCCCACAGAGTGTCTTGCCAGAGTAGTGCATGCTCTGGTTATCTCTCGTTTGGACTACTGCAATGCGCTCTATGTGGGGCTACCTTTGAAGGTGACCCAGAAACTGCAATTAATCCAGAATGTGGCAGTTAGACTGGTGACTGGAAGTGGCCACCGAGACCATATAACACCAGTCCTGAGAGATCTCCCAGTACGTTTCTGAGCACAATTCAAAGTGTTGGTGCTGATCTTTAAAGCCCTAAACAGCCTCGGTCCAGTATACCTGAAGGAGCGTCTCCACCCCCATCGTTCAGCCCGGACACTGAGAACCAGCACCAAGGACCTTCTGGCAGTTCCCTCATTGCAAGAAGTGAGGTTACAGGGATCCAAACAGAGGGCCTTCTCGGTAGTGGCACCCACCCTGTGGAACACCCTCCCTTCAGATGTGAAGGAAATTAGCAGCTATTCCTATCTTTAAAAGACATCTGAAGGCAGCCCTGTTCAGGGAAGTTTTTAATACTAATGCTGTATTGTTTTTAACACTTGATTGGGAGCCGCCCAGAGTGGCTGGGGAAACTCAGCCAGATGGGCGGCGTATAAATAATAAATTATTATTGTTATCATTTATCCAGCAAAGCCCTCTGCTAATTTTACTTATTTGATCCGTAAGCTTCCTTCCAATTAACAGCATAAAAAACAAGATAAAATTCACAATGTGCGCAGTCAAAACAATGCCCCTCCAAAAATAAAATTTAAAATTAGATAGGGTGTTAGGCAAAGACTTCGTCGAAAACGAACGTTTTCTCAAGACAACAAAAAGAACTGGACTCCTTGACAGGTTTTGAATAAGCATACACAAATTTATCAGTTAATAACATGATGGACAGATATGTAAGGATATGTACAACTTTATAATATGTAGAGAAAGTATGTGAAGAGAAATCGGGGAGAGGAGCTGAGGGAAGTGCTTGGTGGCGGGGAAAGGGAAAAATAATGTATGTGATTATATGGTTGATATTTACAAAAAGGAAGAAAACGAACGTTTTCTCCTGGCGCCTGAAATTGCAGGTGTCCCTGGGGAGAGCATTTCATTTAACTCCGTGAGAAAAGGTCACCAACAATGTGCCCCGTGGGGGGAGCCACATTGAGGATATTTGCTGCCCTCGCCAGAAATCAGTGTGGGCATTTGGCTCTGTAGGAAAAGAGAAGCAAAGGGGTAGGAAGCTTCTGCACCTGGTGGTCTCTCTTTCCTTGGAGATTTTTAAGCAGAGGTTGGAGGCCATCTGTTGGGGGTTCTTTAGCCACTATCCCTGCAACGCAGGAGGTTGGACTCGATGACCCTTGGGATCCCTTTCAATACTACAGTTATGTGATTCCTCTTCACCCCTCACCCCATGTAGTGACAGCCGCAAACTGCTCTGACTTCAGAAGGGGGATTAGGCAAATTGGTGGGAAGCTGGACTAGCAATAGCTACTAGGCACAGTGGCTGTGTTACTCCTATGGGGATGTAGTATGCTTCTGAATACCAACTGATAGGAGTTGCAGGTGGAGAGAGCACCGTTGGCCTGTGGGTTCCTGCAGGCACCTGGCTGGCTGTCATGAGGACAGGGTGATGGACTAGATGGTCTTTGGCCTCATCCAGAAGGGCTCTTTTGACCTTAGGATGCTGGCTGGTTATAGCTGTTTAGCTTTCATCCTGTGTTTTGCTTTATCCAACAACACTGCAGAATAGGGGCAGTCCTTAGTGGACACCCAACTCCCATCAACCCCAGCCAACATTGCAAATGGTCAAAGATTATGCAGGTTGGATCTTCACATCATGTGAAGGGTGGTAAATTGGCTACCCATCTTAAAGCTAGGAGACTATCAGAAGGCAGGTGGGGAGGAATGTCATTTTAGGATCTATAAAAGTAATGCGTAGGGCCTTCAGCCTATGCTGTCTTTTAAGGCAGCCTGCACCAACCTGGTGCCCTCCAGATATTTCAGACTACATCTTCCTGTCAGCTACATGCAGCAAGTACTGGCTATGGATGATGTAGTATAAGGTGTATGCAGAGGTTCTCCAAGCTCAGCATGTAGAAATGGGAAAATAATTTTAAAAAACCACTTTCTCTTCAACAGGGTGGTACGGCTCAATTAGGAAAGTAATTTTAACAACCCTACCAGTGTCAGGGTGATTCCTAAAGCAGCCACAACAGTTACTAGCCCCCCCACACATATATAAAAATAATATTTACCAACCTAAGTTCAGCCTAGCAACAGGGGCTGCCATTCTCTTCTGGGAACTTGCGGGCTTCCACTTGCCTACTTGGAATTTACACACATATGAAGTGAACTCAAACAAGAGGGTAGGTACTACAGACTATTTTAAGATATTAATTTCAAATTATTTAGATGGGGGATGTCACTAATGCTGTGCACCTAGTAATGCCTTTTGATTTAATGATGGAGGCATATAAATGCATTTTGAGGGTAGGGGGTGGAGTATGATCTGTGACCTCATTTCTTTAATAATTTTCTTAACACTTTGTTTAGGAGGACAAAATCAATGCCCTAATCAAAGCAGCCGGAGTGAATGTTGAACCTTTCTGGCCTGGACTATTCGCAAAGGTAAGACTAATGAGGAACAAGTTATCCAGTAAAAATACATTTATGGAAAGAATATATTCTAGTCTGCTGAGCCTGCTGCCTTTAGGGTGTTGTTGGATCTCAACTCCCATCATGCCTTACCAAGGGCCTTGCAGGTCGGGGCTGATGGAAATCCAACACTACCTAGAGGGCCCCGTAGGATAAGGTGCTTGGCTGGCAGATTTATGTATTCTGGGGACAGCAGTGCTGATTTTACTATTACAACTCTTAGCAGTTCTAGAGCAGTAACTGGTTCTAAGTTTGTGCTGTATGATGGGTGGTTGTCACTCAAATTGATATGCTCCCCTTTTTAGTAACTTTGTTTATTCTGACTAGGCCTTGGCCAACATTGACATTGGAAGTCTCATCTGTAATGTAGGAGTTGGTGGTGGTGCTCCAGCGGCTTCAGCCCCAGCCGGTGGAGGAGCACCTGCTGGTGCTGCTGCTCCCGGTAAGTGCAATTCTTTCCTTATTTAGGAGGCCCTTAGATCCATTTAAGTGGGATGCAATTTTTCCCAGAAAGGGACTAACAAGCCATGCTATAAATGTCTTTTTTCCTCTTTGTGGATAATTAGGTTGTCCACAATTTGTGTGGTGGTAATCTGCATCTAACAAGTTTGGTCCTCAAGGGTCAAAAGAGAGGGCAAAACAGTTCAGCATTATCTAAAGCCTGTTCAGTGGAGGTGTCGCACACTTCTGGGTTGGCGTTCCACAGCTTAGGGGCTGCGACAGAGTCATCCAATGTGCATGCTAAAACAGCTTAATGGGTGTTAATTAGTTAAGGTGGACTGAGATTGCTGTATTCTAATCAATATTAATTTTGCAGCTGAGGAGAAGAAAGAGGAAGAAAAGAAAGAAGAGTCAGAAGAATCCGATGATGACATGGGCTTTGGTCTCTTTGACTAAGCAAACATTTTGTACTCTTTGCTAATAAAGATACAAAAGCATGTAAATGGAATCTCATTTGTTCTGGTAATACATGAGGTGAGTCTGCTGGATTTGGCCAGCATCCTGCACAATAGTGGCCAGCAGGTGTCTGTGGGAAGCCTGAAAGCTGCACATGAATGCAACAGACCCGCAGTTACCAACAGGCGGCATTCAGAGGTGAAGTGGCTCTTGGGAAACATTCATCTATGTATTAGAGTTTTCCTGTTTACATCCTGATGGTTTTAGAAATTGTTTCTCTACAGCAGAGGTAGTAAATTATCTCCCTCACCTCTGCAAACAATGGAGGAGTGCACCTTCAGGGATGAAGTCAAACTTTTGGAAAGTTACAGCGCCTGCTGTGGCTGTAGACCAATACAGGAGAGACATGTTTTGTTGCATCTGGGGGCTGGGTTCTGCTGCAGAAGGATTTAAATTTAAACCCCCCCCCCCAATTCTTCATTAAACTTAACAAGAATTGGCATGCATGTTGAAGTTGTGATCAGATCTCCCCATCAGCTGGATCTAAGGTGAGAGCCCCACATGCACCACTCCTGAAGTACGATGGTGGGGCTTCCTCAATTTGCTGACAAGCCTGATGGTGCCATGTTTTGTTTCATGGAGTGGAGGTTCCCCACCCGAACTTGTAAAGGAAAGAACCGCTGGTAGGTGAAAGCAATAAGGTGGTGTAGAATGGCAAGGATTATAGGCCTTTTAGACCCTAGTCCTCAACCTCCTAACAGTTCAAAACCCCTTAACAATGAAGTTCGTGCTAAGAGTGTCTACCCCAATCCAAGACAATCCTTATTTCACTATTTTTTAAAAATACACTGAAGCTATTCATATTCCTATATACTTTGTATAGGGAGGAACTTGGAAAGGATTTCCCCCTAAATGTGTTCCAGAGAGGATTCTGTTTGATACCACACAAGGTAACCTACCATTACAGGAGTAGAGCGACAGAAACAAATTAGGAAGAGAATTCTGTACTAAGTTGCCAAGAAACAATTACACCACATTTGCCCAGGTTCTATTTTTAAATGGTTGTGCGTCTAGTTTCCTTAGGGGAAAAGGAAACACATATGAAACATGGATTATTTCATTATAATCCCTTAATCAGGCACACCAATGGCAGGTTTAAAATATTCATCATGGCTTTAATCTTTCTTTATAAATTATATAAAAATGGGGAACATGTATGGTTACATAACATTTTCTTCTAAATTCAGCTTTGAGTTGCTCTGGTACAAAGCAGCTTGTTTTTGCTTCCGAGGAAAACAACTGCTACAAAAAACTGGCATGTTATTCTGGTGAAAAAGACAAGTTCTCTGTTGGTGTTCTACAACTACTTTCCAATCCAATGCTTCACACGTCCACATGGAAGGGGAGGGAAACAAATGGATGAAGAGGACTTTCTGTTTTGAAATGACAGGCGCTTTGAAAATATAGCTTTTTAATCTTTCTCTGTAAATTGTGATTAGCATTTTGCGGCTTTAAGTGTTCTAATAAAAAAAAGTATTCCAGTCTGGACAGTTCGCATATTGTGGGCAAGAATTCTCAGCCCTGAGGTTTCCCAGAATTCTTCACAATACCTTTGCTCAGTTCTGCACCTTGGAAAGTTCAAGGTCTTTGACTTGTTTCTTTTTCTTTAAAAAAAAACAACAAAAACCCTTGGCAAATGAAGAGATTCACATTCCACATAATGTGAAAATTTCAAATTGATGCCCACTGATTCTGTGCAGATACAGTTCTGTGAAAATTGACACGTTTTCAATCTCAGACTTTTCCTGGCATTGTCGATTAGGGGGGGAAAGATGCTTGAAGATAGAAGAACCAACAGGCGTCATTTTGTTAAGCAGCATGGGAATTACTGGAAATCCAGGACCAGGAAGGGTCAATTCTCATTTCTGCTGGAAGGCTAATTGCCCATTAAGGGAGCAAGGCTCTCCCAACTGCACAATGCAAACTTCCCTCTGCATTTAGTGGGGCCTGGACTGGCCAATCGATTTTAGCCTGGCTTGGTCAATAACATCCAGCAAGTTTTTGGCATCCACAGCCAGAGCGTGAGCTGCCGTGAGCATCTGCTTTTTGTATTCCTGCTGCAGGCTAGTCATGACATATTGCTGAGCCAGCTTCATCTTGTTAATCAGTTCAGCGAGGTCAGAGTTCAGGAGTTTCTGGGCCATCTCAATCTGGAAGAGAGAAGAATCAAGATGACACCTGGTGTAGAAAAAGGCAGAAGGTGCTACAATACTCATCTATTCCCAATGAAAGTTTCACCTTTACCTAAAACCACTGGACCTTTAGTTGGAAATGTTCCATGTCCCTGTAGAGCCAGTGTAATGGTTAAAGAGTGTTGGACTAGGACGGGAGAGCAGGGTTCAAATCCCCACTGTGGGTGACCTTGGGCCAGTCACCTCTTAGACCAACCCACCTCACAGGGTTTTGAGGATGAAATGGGGAGGAGAACCATGCATACCACCTTGAGATCTTTGGAAGATAAAGGTGGTATGTAAAGGTAATTAAAAAAAAACAAAGTCACTTAGGTGTGAAACTCACTAAATAATAGTCATGGCCGCTACAGTGGAACCTTGGTTTTCGAACTTAATCCATTCCAGAAGATGTTTGAAAACAGAAGCATTCACTTCCGGGTTGTTGGCGTTCGGGTTCTGAATTGTTCAGCAACCAAGGTTCCGCTGTACTGGTTTGTTCCCCAGGGGCTATAATGGAATTTATTAGGTCCCTGGATTTCAGAGCTTAGCTTTGCAAGTGTGCTAGCAGTTTTATTGCTGTGCCACTAGGTGGAGACCATTCGCTTAGCATTGTAAAACTTCCCCTGGTGATTACTTTTTGCTGTTTGTAAACAATGCGTGTTCCACCCCTGCTACTCTTGCCTCCCAATGGACATGCTCCATTACGCTGTTCTCCTAAGTCCCAGTAGTCACATGAGGCTGCTATACCACTAATGGGTCGAAACTGGTTGCTGATTACACATCTGTATGAAGGGCTGTATTCATTGGGAAGGCTAGCATATGAGGGGAGCCAGAGGCTCTGTGCTCGCTCAACCCAGACCAATGACTGCAGAGTGCATTGATGTGCTGGCTTGCCATCCAGAAATTAAAGCTTGAATCATCTACCTCTCTGTGGGTGCTTGTCGGGAGCACTGGGATGGTCTCGTCTACTGTAGCCAGTAAAGTTCGAAGTGCCAAGCCAACCTCCTAGCCAAAGACAAGAAAGCATGATTAATTATATACCAATTACCCCAATCCTATCCTGTGGAATTCCTGCTCAGTCATTCCCACTATGGACCTGACATTTCCGTAGGCATCGTCTCTCAAGCTTCTCTTCCGAGCACAAAGGACTAGAAATACAACAAATTCAGATATATTCGGTATCCTGAGTTTCATGCCCTGGTCAAATCTCACCCATGTGTCTTTTACACACAGCCCCATTTGTGTTCCCTTTGCATACTAATAAACTACATACATCAAGGAGAGTGAAACACATACAATCTTTCATTACTAGATGTAGGACTGGTTCAGATACTTAAGTTCAGGGGTAGGCAACCTAAGGCCCGGGGGCCGGATACGGCTCAATCGCCTTCTCAATCTGGCCTGCGGACGGTCTGGGAATCAGCGTGTTTTTACATGAGCAGATTGTGTGCTTTTATTTAAAATGTTATTTGTGGGGCATAGGAATTAGTTCATTTTTCATTTATTTTTTCAAAATATAGTCCGGCCCACCACATGGTCTGAGGGACAGTGGACCGCCCCACAGCTGAAAAAGGTTGCTGAACCCTGCTTAAGTTTCTCTCCATGCAGGAGAGCGTGAGAATGCACGCACACACAACCCCACATATCCCCATCCTGGTTTTCGTTTTTCTTCTGCCTGCCACACATCTTGAAAGACTATAAGGCCACTCTGGTGGGTGGATGGGGTGGATCTTACCTTCACCATGGGGACATATTCCTCCGGTGGGGCTGGCTGAATTCTGCTGGACATCTCTATGACCGCTTTCACGAGGCCTGTGACATTCTCGTAGACCTTGTCATTGGAACGATCCAAGTTGGCTGTTGGGGGAGGGCTAATCTCTTGCGGCTGAATCTGGAGGGGAAAGGAGATAGATTTACTTCCACATGCTTGCCCACCAGATGGCGCTCATCTACTTTCATTTAGTTTCAGCTTCAGGAAAACTCCTTTCTGTAACTACAAACACAGGGCATACACATTCAAACAGCGGCCAAGCTGATGGAAACCCTGAAGAGTTTCTAAGAGTCAGTGGCCATGACTGAGAATATGAACTAAGCTGAACCACAATATGAAATCAGAGAGGAGAACCAAGTAGGAACACTTCTCTCACGTTGCAGTTGGTGCCTCTGCTCCAACAGAATCTCTGCATAACCTTCAATATTTAGATTATCTTCAGATCACCTAAATTCAATTGAAATATTCCAGAGTAAGGAGTCTGATGACTGCATACTCGATGTTTTGCTGTGCTTTAATCCATTTTATAGCATTGAAATTAGCTCATGAGCCCTTGTAGTCATTGGGCTGGTTCCAGTCTTGTAGTGCAATCCAACACATGCTTACTTAAAAGTAAATTCTATAGTGTTCATTGGTATATCCTTTCGGGTAAGAGGGTGCAGGACTGCTGTGGAAGTTATTTAATCTTGACATCCATTGACAGGTTGGGCATGACTTAAATCCCACTGATTTCAATGGAAACAAAGTTCAGCTAACAAACTTAAGTTAACTAAGGAATGGAAGGGGTGTGTTAGGATCCAGCTGATCTCCAGATGAGCTGGAAGATTCCCAGAGCCCAGCCAAGTTATACCAGCTTAACTCTCCCACTCAGCCCAGCGAGAAACCAGTTTATCTCCCCCAGATGGTTGAGCCAAGACCAGTACCCCTTAAGCTGGCATAAGACCCAAAAAGGAGATTTCTGGGAGCTGGGACCAGAGGAGGGGGACTCAGGCAGAATACTAAGCCAGTCAGCTTGGTCTTGTGCCCTGTCAAACCAGTGTAAGTTAAACT